CCTGGCCGGGCGTCCGGGCGGCAGAGCTGGCGCGCGGGGCGGGGGCAAATAGGGATGCTCTTGGAGCACAGGGGCGTCCACGGGGCAATTGGGGCACAGGGCTGCCTGTGGGGCAATAGGGATGCCTGTGGGGCAATTGGGGCACAGGGCTGCGTATGGGGCAATAGGGATGCCTGTGGGGCGCACTTGGGCCCAGTAGCTCCCTGCCACCCTTCATCTCCCCACAGGGGTATACACCCCACCTGGCTGTACCTATGGTGCCTGTGGGCTGAGTCTGTCCCTGCCCAAGGGCCACCCCAAGTTCTCTCTCCCCAGAGGCCCGAGCTGGCCTGGCTCCCATTCCAGCAGGTCTCTTGGGGGCTCTCTGCACTTCCCACTAAGCTAATGATTTCATGCCAAACTGGAAGCTCTGTGGTCAGCATGAGTCCCACGTGACAGAAGGGCAAAACCTTGAGCTTTCCCATGGTGGGCAAGTCTGGGTCTCAGCTATCTGTCTTCCCAGACCCTGACCCCAAGCCCTGACTCACTGCTCAGGCACCCCAGAGATGACAAGGAGACACAAACCCCAGCTTCTTCTAGTGCAGGCAGATGTAGACTCTTCAAAAGTCTGTGGAGCACTCGCTGAGCCCATATACCTATACACCTTTATCAGCCCAAGCTCCCAGCACTAAAGCAGGAATTGTTACAGGTTGACTGGTATCCCTCCCAACTTTCCTTTCCCCAAACATTAGTATTTCCTCAGACAAACTCAAGTCCAAGTGCTGGGGGACAGCTGAGAGGCCGAGTGAGACTAACTGATCAGGACTCTCAGAAACTGCTTCAGAAACAAATTAGGGGGTGGGGGAGAGAGGCACAAATTCACATTAGTTCAGGCAAGTTTGCCTCTGGACACCTGATAGAAGGTACTTCAGCACAAAGAGCTCAAAGGAAGTAGTTTGCCTCTTTCCTCTCCCTTTGAGACAATCTGAAATTGACGAGATTCCCAGACTAACTCTGCCTCAGGGGAACTGAGGAGCCTGGGAAGAGGAGGTGTTGACACTTTCCTACAGCCAAGGACTTTGTAAGAAGTCTTGTTAGGAATCCAGAGGAGTGGGAAGAAGAAGCTGGGGAGGAACTGTGTTTATTTTGGAATGGTCTGGTTCATTTGGACTTCTGCCACTAGCTCTCCATGAAGTATCTATGATGCCTGAGAGACTGGGAGGGAGAGTCCTCAGGGGTTGTTAAATGTGAACTTCACTGTTTATTTGGATGGCGAGTTGGTATGCTGAGAAAGGGTGGATTGGTTTAGCTAGAGTCAAAGGCTAAACAGCCCACAGACTGTGGACATCCCTCTGGGCCCACAGAGAAGCACTTGGAATTGAAGGAAGTGTCCTGGATTAATGACACAGAGGAGGTTTGGTCTCTATTTTAGGTGCCCTGGCTAGAACTTGCACTGAGTGGGAGCTCCATTCAATCTCACCACATTATGGTAGGAAGTTGTGACATGGTGTCAGCAGTGGGATCTGTGAAAAGGGGAGAAATATGAAGACTAGAGACTTCTTATCCGTGGAGTACACAGCTGAGCAAAGTATTTCCATTCAGTTTCCAGGAACATTCCAAAGGAGAGAGGAGATATTTTCTGGAAGCAAAAAATGTGGAATTGGTGCAGTGGTCAATAATGAAAAGGACAGGTCACTGCTACAGTGTTATCTGGATTGTTAAGCAGACAAATGCATTTTAATACAGCTAAATAGATATGTCTAGGAACAGTAAAATCAAGTCAAAATTGAGAGACATAACCAAGCCAAGTGCTCCAAGAAAATGTAGCACTAGAAGAGAATTGGCATGTGCTAGGGAACAGACTTTCTTGGAACATTCTTGTGAACTGCTGATATTCAATATTTTAAAAATAACTATTACTCCTTAAGGGTCAAACTGCCCAGAAGACATGGATGTCCACGATATTCTTATTGATAAACTAGGCAAATATAACTTAGATAGGTCCACGATAAGGTGGGTGCATAATTGGCTGGATAACCGTAGTCAGAGAGTTGTTGTTAACGGTACTAAATCCTCCTGGAAAGGGATAACAAGTGGAGTTCCTCAAGGGTCTGTTTTGGGACCCGTACTGTTCAATATCTTCATCAATGATGTAGATATTGGGATAGAGAGTACGCTTATTAAGTTTGCAGATGATACCAAACTGGGTGGGGTTGCAACTTCTTTGGAGGATAGGGACATAATTCAAAATGACCTTAGCAAGTTAGAGAAATGGTCAGAGGTAAACAGGATGAAGTTTAATAAAGAGAAATGCAAAGTGCTCCACTTAGGAAGGAACAATCAGTTCCATACATACAAGATGGGAAACGACTGTCTAGGAAGGAGCACGGCGGAAAAGGATCTAGGGGTCATAGTGGACCACAAGTTGAATACGAGTCAACAGTGTGATGCTGTTGCAAAAAAAGCAAATATGATTCTAGGTTGTATCAACAGGTGTGTTGTAAGCAAACCTCGTGAAGTCATTCTGCCGCTCTACTCTGCATTAGTTAGGCCTCAGCTGGAGTACTGTGTCCAGTTCTGGGCGCCACATTTCAAGAAAGATGTGGAGAAATTGGAAAGGGTACAGGGAAGAGCGACAAGAATGATTAAAGGTCTAGAGAACATGACCTATGAAGCCAGGCTTCATGAACTGGGCTTGTTTAGTTTGGAAAAAAGAAGATTAAGGGGGGACATGATAACTGTTTTCAAATATCTAAAAGGGTGTCACAAGGAGGAAGGAGAAAATGTGTTCCTCTTGGTTTCTGAGGACAGGACAAGGAGTAATGGGCTAAAAGTGCAGCAAGGGAGGTTTAGATTGGACATTAGGAAAAAATTCCTAACTGTCAGGGGGGTCAAATATTGGAATAAATTGCCAAGGGAGGTTGTGGAATCTCCCTCTCTGGAGATATTTAAGAACAGGTTAGATAGACATCTGTCAGGGAGGGTGTAGACGGAGCTTGGTCCTGCCTTGAGGGCGGGGGGCTGGACTCGATGACCTCTCGAGGTCCCTCCAGTCCTATGATTCTATGATTGCTATTCCGCATGGAACTTGGTTTTTAGTCCATTATTTTAAACAACATAGACTATGGCTCTGCACACACTCAACATATTTGTTTGGCAGCTCCTGCCTGAAGATTTGTTTTATCAAACTTTCAGACGCTGAGAGGTCAGACCCTAAATGAATTGTACTTCTGCAGTACTACAATTCATTTGCAAATTTGACACTATCAATTTAGGATTGAACAAAAACTGAATGTCTAGCCAACTACAAAAGCAGTTTCTCCTCCTTATCAGCTGCTAGAAGTGAGCCTCATCCTCCTTGACTAAATTGACCTCTCTGGCCTTCCTCTTGATTGGTACTCCCTTCTTTTCATGTGCCTATTTATACCCACCTCTGGAATTTCTACTACATGCATCTGACGAAGTGGATCTTTGCCCATGAAAGCTTATGATCTATAAATCTTTCAAGCAAAGCTGATTTTTCCTCCCCTCCCCCCCCCCCCAGATAAAAAAATTATTGCCACTGTTTTTGCTCTAGGTAGAAACCAAGAAAGTGTGTAAGTTGCCATTGTGGGTTGTTTTCCAGATATGAAAGTACCTGTTTAGATCATCCTTTCAGTTTTCCAGTTTTCTATTAGATATTGAACATCTTCCTGTTCCTTTTGGTCATTTATGTTCCATTTCTGTAGCAAGCATTTAAAAACTTATTGTTTCTCTTTTAACATTTGTCTGCTCAATCTATTGACTAGACGAGGCTAGTCTGACCCCTCATACAACTCTGGCTGCCTTATCAGCGTTTGGTAGCTCTGAATAAGACCAAAACTGTGATAACCAGCCTTTGTGTTGTCAAACGTATACACCATTGAATGTCAATAGAAAATCTTGTTTGTTTTATTCTCTTGACTCAAATTAAATGGACTTTGTAAACTATTGAGTGTAGATGAAACAAATCTGCTTGTACAATCAGGAGAAGCGGTTCCTATTATATCTAGTGAAGGAACATGTTACAACAAGCCTCCAGCTATTGTCTTTCTCTGAATCTGTTCTCTCCTCATTGAGAGGCAAGGTGCGGAAAGGAATATCTTCTATTGGATATTGAACATCTTTTATTCTGTTGGTGGAGGAGGCAACCTTTCGAGCTTACACAGAACTCTTTGCCAGTTCTGGGAAATGTACTCAGAGTGTCACAGCTAAAATGCAGACAAGATTGTTAAGCATAAGGAATTTAACTTTACCACCTGGCTGAACACAAAAAATATGCAACTCAGTTAAGACTTGGTTTTTAGTCCATTATGGTTCATTAAAACAATCTGTAACCATCAGAGGCTTTAACTGCCCACATCACCCTGAATGGTTTCTTGCAACCTGTGCTAATTCCTTTAGCACTAGGTCACAGTAGGAGGAGGTGGTGGGGTTGTCATCCTATGCGAGGGGGAATGGTGGATGACTCCCTCGGTTGTAGCTTATGATGTTACAAGACCCCCAATTTGTACTGTCTCCCTAATCTTGGTACTACCATCTAAACTCTCATTCGTTTACTGCTGTGTCCCTTAAGAATCTCTTTTATTATACCTCTTCTTCCTATTACTTCACCATGGTTCAAATTCACAACAGACCTTTGCCATTTACATTGCGGTTTCTTATTTTCCTTACCTGTTAATCTCTTCTGAAGAACCTTAAGCTAAAGCTTTTGTAAACGCAAGTACATTGTGAGCAGCCTGGATAGCTGGTCTAAAGGGTTACGCTGGATGTCAAGAGAGGCCAGATGCTTTCCACACACTATTCTCACAATCTACAGTACTTCTGAAAGTTTACCGAGAGCCAATCAGGCTGATGTAGGGAGTTAGCCATTCTACCATAATTCAGTCATAAAATCACAGAAACATAGGACGGGAAAGAACCTCGAGAGGGCATCAAGTCCAGGCCCCCGCAGGACTAAATCTGATCCAGACCATCTCTAACAGATGTTTGCCTAGCCTGCTCTTAACAATCTCCAGTGATGGAGATTCCCAACTACCCAGAGCAATTTGTTACTATGCTTAACAGCACTGTCAGTTAGGAAGTCCTGCCAGGCTGAAGCAGTAGTAATACACAAAAACGGAAAGAAAAAAAAGAATCGATTACATTATAAGGCACTTTTGACATGCTGCAGAATGCTAACAAACAGCAGCCACTGAAAAAGTTCTTCAAGTGCTTTTGAACAGAAATGACACTAACCTTTTGGAAGAATTTAAGAAACTGAAATAAAATTACATAGGTGATTTCCTTTTAATAAACCCTTCATAGGCATTTAGACCAAAATCTTGGACCAGCTAGTTGTTTAGAAAGTCTTGAGGCTCAGGTGAGGGGAGCGGCACAGAAGGCAAGTATGATGGAAGCCTCCGAAAATTACCAGCTCACGGAGCTACTGGAAATCAGACCCATTCGACCCTTACTCTGAAATCCATCCATCCCCTAATTCAGGACTTCACTGTCACATTATCTATATTGGCACGAAGTTTCTTCTGAATCGAGCCCAAATTTGTTCTCTCAACGTTGCCACACATTTGTCCCAGTGCTACCCTAATTTCTCTCTCCTCGTGAAGTTTAGCTCCTTCAAATGTGTGCAATGTAAGTAACCACCAAAAAGAGACCTTAGAAAAAATTAAAACAAATTAAATAACTCGCTTTCTGAACAAGTGAGTTCCACCAGCTCCCTAATCACTCAGGCAAAATGGAGAAAGTTACAAGAAAAAACATTTTCCCATTAGGTGGTGCCCAGAGCTGAGTACTATACTCCAGAAGCAGTCTTGCTAGGGCTGTGCTGAGATCAGGCACGTACAAGATTAAACCAGATGCTGTGAAAAGCCATTTTTGTACATTGTTCATGGGTTCACTGACCTCCAGAAGGTTTGTGATATTTCTTTTAAAAGACAGAATGAACAGATTAACCTATATACTAGGAAAGTTAGATGTATGGAGCAATAAGTTAGCAGTCTTTTTCAAAAATGGAGAAAATCTAAATATGGTTTCCATTACCTGTAGATGCGAAGCCTCAGTCATGCAATGGAACCTGCCTAGGCAGACAATGGAGAGAACACAATAGAAGACAACCTGAATGTGCTGTTCTGGATCAGACTGCTATACTAGGAAGTTTGAAAACTGGGATGCATATGAAATAGCCAGGCATAGATATTATACATCTCAGAGCATTAAGAAAACTAGCAAAGCAACCACTTAAATGAACTTTTCTTTTCAGTGTCTCATCTCCTAATCATCCAAACTATTTATTTTACTTGTTGAAAATAAATTTAAAAATGGGAGTTCATTGTTTCAGACATTTGGATAATCATTCATTCATTTCTTCCTTCTCCATGTTGGTTGGTTAGTATTATTCTGTTTGCTTAGTTACCAATCTAAAATGTATGCTATGATACAAAGGGAGCATGAGTGAAACATCTGTGTTAAACATATATAAACAATTCTTTATTCCATTTCTGAAGCATACTTGGAAAATAAAGAGCAAGGCTACTTCTCACATTAGAACATAACCGTGACAATTTGTGCAATCATGAAGACTCAAATTTTAAGAAGATATTTTCCCTTCAACAAAATTCCTCGTCATGGACTGATTCATAATTATTTTTCTTAAAGTCTTTCATGTCAGCCAACATTAAAACAATAACTCACTATTGGTTTAGTGCTGTCATTGCTACACTAGACTTCAACAGACTGGTACTAAAATATCCACTTAAGTACTTAATGTATAACTAAATTTCTCTGAGTTTCCTGTCTTCTGAAAAGTATAAGCTTCACTTATTAAAGGAAGATGAGAAAATAATAGTATAATTTTCCAGCATAGGAACAGAATAACAAGATCAGTTTGAAGGAGATAAGTTTGCTGGACTCTGTCAAGTCTTACAAGAGAATCCTTCCATACATCTAGCATTTCATTTGGCTCCAATAAAGAGTGAAACCAAATAATCAGCAATTACAAGATTTCCCTCCTTTTCCCTTGATTAAAGCCCCAATTCAAGAGGGGACCTAAGCACCTACTTAATTTTAAGCACATATAAAGCCACACTGAGGTCAGGAGTGTTCACATGCTGAAAACTGAGCATAAACTGAAGTGTTTTTGCTGAATCAGGGCCTGAAGGTTGGGAGGGAGTCTCAGTTACTCTGAAGCTCTGTTCAAAACAGTAGAATTTTGCTCACCTTAATAGCAGGATCTTCCCACTTTTCTCCCACAGGCTTAATAGTCACCATCAGGAGGCCTTCTACTATTAAGACTATTATACTTAGAAAATAAACTATTCAAGATTAAGTAGCATACTCTAAATCAACAGATACTGTATCCAGTCACTTTGGCAGTAGTTGAATTAAAATGAAAACATTTCATTTTCTTTTTCAGAAATTGGGTTTGAACACTTTCTTTTAATAATTTACAAGGGATTCCAGACACGAGTGCAAGGGTGAGTAGCATTTCTGATTATTCATTTTCCCAGTTTTTAACAGAGAAAGACAAACTCGTGGCATGTGATATGAGCACTGCAGCTCAGTTAAGGATATGTGGTTATCTTTCATTTATACATCCCATTCTCATCCTATTACCCAATACACTTTTAAAAAGTACAGTTTATTGTAAACAATATATACTTGGCCAGTTCAATGTATCAGCACCAATACTCTTTCTGAAGAAACCACAAAACTTTACTGCTGATGTATTTGATGCATGTACTATCAGGGACCATAAAAAGACTTTAGTAATTGTAAGCACTGAAAAAAAAAATACATAAAAATAATGAGAATCAATTCATTAATTTGTAATGAGCCCAATTACCACACTTGGTGGTAGAAAAGTGTAGTCTCATCATCTAGCAAGAACTAGTCTTATGATAATACAGTAAATGGTTTATTTACGATGACCCATAACAGACTTGGACTGCATAGCGTTTAGGTGGTATTAGAAGTCACTGTGTATAACCAAAAGAGGATACAATCCCCTTTTATTACTGGGGATGTACAGCTAGCTAAGAGGCAAAACATTTTTCTGCCTTTCTCCGCCTTTTAATCCTACTGAGGGATAGCAAATAAATCACGCAAAATTCCTAATTTGATTAGTTTAAAACAAACATAATAACCTTTTCCTGAGTTAAAAAAAATACAGTATTCTGCCAAATGTTCTCCTTTTCTCCTAAATGTTTAAAATAACTTAGTGGATAGTGAAAAAAGGATGAGGCATCTCGGGAAGAACAGCAGCACAGTGACAACATACGTCCATTTAACAAACTCCACTCTCCAGAGCTTTCTAGGTTTTGAACACATTTGCTCCTTCCTTTGGCCAGTTTAGTGTATTTGTCCCAGAGATAAGAAAATTCTGAAACCAGTTTCTACTCATGGTCCTAATAGACAAAGCTTCATTATATGGCAAGGAGTAGAATTTTGACTTGCTGCACAATGGAAAGATTTAATATACCAGAGGAGGTAAGCAGTGAAATGTCCCACATTCTGTTGAAATCGATCACTTATGCACAGCTTAGATGGAGAACTATTCACAGTTTGCTGTTTAGCTGTTGTTATTAGCACTGCAGAAAAAAACATCGACGAAATGGCTGCAGAGAGAAGGGAGCATGAACCCAATTTTGATTTAAATTATTATAAAGCTCAGATTTTTCAACTAGGCAGGTGAACAAAACCAAAGATCCAATAATTTCAGAAGACAAAAGTGTCAAAATTCCTTTTAGACGTTCTATGCCAACATGAAAGAAGAGCTTTGTAGTAGTGGTATAGGATAGCAATATCAGATAAAAATACATATATGATTATTACAAAACAGTCACAGAAAGGTTATGTCATACAGTCATCCATTTTCTCATTGATAAAGTGCATTTACCTAGCCTGAGAGTAAGTTCCACATTGAAAAAGGGAAGCTAAAGCACTTCACCAAAATAGATTACAGGAAATCCAGAGCTGGCCCAAGCCTTACAGCCAGTTGTCTCATCCGTGAGACAGGACACTTCTGAGAAGACCAGGCTGGTCCAGCGGAGGTACTCCATTCTAATTCAGTACATCAGGGGCAAGGGTCACTCAACAAGTCACCTGTCCGATGCTATCTGAAGATTCCCACGTTAATAGAAAGAGCCACTTCCGGCTTATGATGTTTATTAACCACCTTTCCCTCAGAGGAAACATTGTTCTGTAAGCGCTGAGCTTGCCGGCTGTAAGAAAATCAGTTGGCTTTCTTAGCATTCAGCTGTCATGATAATATCAGTGTACTTCTAGGAAGCTGTAAATCCACGTGGAATCTGATTACTCCTTTGGCAGAGATGACAGCTCGCCCCCACACTTGCTAACTGTACATTTAAGTGTTTCCCAGGTGACAAAATGGCTGATTGTTCACTGCTTTGCCTTGGGTAGTCAACCTAGCAGAATGGTCTTACAAAATGCAAGCTCGGGAGAAGCGAAGAAGATTGACCTGTAACTGGAGATCCTTTGAGAAGTGTGGTCCCTATCTGTATTCCTCTGAGGGCAACGTACATGTGCCATGCACCTGGAACTGGAGCTCTTCAAAGTGGTAACGTCTGTTTGTGCGTGCAGCCCTGTCTTGCCTCCTGGTTTTGCCCAAGCCGGTGACCGACAGAGCAGATCAAGAGCATCTATAGTTCCTTCTCCACCCCCACTGCAGATCTGTCACAGCTGCAGCAGAGGGGAAAGAGGGTGGGATTGGAATACAGATAAATACCACCCATCTTGAAGAACCTCCAGTTACTGGTAAGTAACCTCTCCTCCTCCTTCGAGCAATGGCCCCATTGTACCCCACTGAGGGTGATGAACAAGCGGTACCTCGTTTCGAGGAGAGAACCATGGACTGGAGGGTTGGTGCACTGAACAGGGTGTCCATCACAGAATCAGGCACTAGAGCATAACAAGAAGAAAAGGTGTACACTGCATTCCACGTGGTTGCCCTACATGTATCTGCAAGGGGTATACCACAAAGCCGGGGCGTAGCTGATGCCTGCACTCTCGTGGAATGGGCTCATATCCAGCTGGCGGGAACCATCTTGATGGCTGATAAAGGGTAACGCACGCTGAGACCCACTCCGAGGGGCTCTGGATGGAGATGGCCTGCCCATTATTTCTCTCTGCTACAGCGGCACATAGTCTGGGAGACTGCCACCTCCAAAGGCTTTAGAAGGCCAGGGCCTCAGGACTCTGAGGGAGTGAGACCATCCCTCTCCCTCGAAGGTGTGCGGTTTGGGAAAGAAAGTGGGTGGGCGTAAAGGGTGAACGCGGGGAAGCCACATTTGGTAGGAACTCGGGCTGCAGGCACAGTGAGACCCTGTCCTTACGGAATGTGATGAAAAGGGATCTGCCATCACCACCCCCAGCTCAGCAACCCGCCTGGCAGAAGTAACCATGACGAGGCAGGGATAGTTCAGCGAGGACACCGAGGCAGTGTCCTGAGTCCTGAGACTTGCAGGACCTTCAGAAACAAGAAAACAACGACAGAAAGCGCCCACATAGTGACTAAATAAAGAACAGAAACAGGCTTGTTGGGTATTTGGGGGTGAGAAAAATAGGGAAATGAGCCGCAAAGGATGAGAGGACAGCTGAAGCTCTTACTTGGACCATGTGGTGGTGAAAAGGAACTAAAGATGTGGTTGGTCCACCCTGCAATTTATAATCTCAAGCAAAACCATGATGGGATGCAGGGGGCATGCATGGACTGACAGACACTACTATGAAAAGCTCCAGGCAATGTGCGTTACCCTCCGTGGCATATAACAAGGACCATCACTCGAAGAAGAACTGAGCCCTACTTGTCAAATTGGTTCACAGTGCAGATGTAGTGTTAAGAACATGAAGAAGTTTTTGAATTACTATTACTCAATGCTCCTCCTTTGGCACACTCAGGACTGAAGACAGTTACTGGGGTTGATTATCTACTTCTACCTCAGACAAAATATCACAGCACTAAAAATCAGTGGATGCTAGTCAAGCCCTTTGTATCTCTAAGAACACAAAGAAATATATTGCAGTAAATACCTTTTCTTTTTTTCCATTGCACGCTGCCTCTGTGTCTCCTTTCCAATGTCATCTCTCACAGTACTGAAGTCCTTGCCATCCTCAAGCAGAAGATTCTGTTGCCAGAAAGCATTGGGCATTAGTTTACTGGCTTAGTACCCATAGTATATTCCATTGGCCACTCAATTGTTCAATGCAATTCGTGTGACTGAACATGTGGTTACTGACAATTTTTGCACCAAACTACTGGGGGTTACTGAGTCTGAAATGGGTGATGGAATCCCCCTCGTCCCATCTGCACTCTTCCATTAGGCTGGCAAAGCACATCGGGAGAGGCAGCAACAGGAGCAGTGCCCTACCCCACTCTCCCAAAGTGCTGAGCTTTGTCAATGTCATATAAATGCAGAGGGATGCAGAAGAATGAGGCAGAACTCAGGACATGGCGGATGTTATTACTGCTGAGACTACAGGCTTGTTCACTAATACCAATTGCTGGTAAATCCTGGGTGTTTTCACAATTGTGTTAATGCTTAAGTTTACCTTTACACCGATAATGTCTCCATCTTTCAGGTGGTAAGGTGCTGACTGCAAACTCTCTTGTTTTTTCTTCCGCTTCTTCTTTGAAATTTGCTGGGTCTGAATAAAGGCAAAGTATCAAAAATGTTGACATGTCCTAAGCCTATAGAGTTAACTGAAACTGATTTCTGTCGTTTCCCCATCCAAAGGTATAAAACACCTGTAGTCAGCTGCTCTTCAGCAATTCAGGAGTCTTACTTATTCTTAGAATTGCATCTGGATCTCTGCCAGCAAATTTTCCTCCACAAAGGTCCCTGTTCTTTCATTCACCATGAAGTCTCCCACTTATCCTTCCTCTTCTCCATATGCATACTTTAAATCTCCCACACCCTCTGACAAAGGAGATCTAGATTATATTGCATTTATAACCAGTTAACTCTGGTCCTTAATCAGAGAATCTATTTACTTTAGCAAAACTCAGTGTTGTTTCCATAATCTCATTCCAGCAGTTATTCACTCAGAAAAACCCAAAGAGCAAAAAAGCACACACAAAAATCCAAAGCCACATTTACCGTACATAATCACCTGCTAAGATGGTTTCTGATTTCATAGTTGATCTCTAGTCTGTAATCCTAGCAAGTTTTTCAACTCACATAAGTAAAGAACAGTAAAGAGTGTTCTTTACCTGTATCAGGCAGGGGTTGCTCCACCATCCGGTAAGAGCAGCCCTGTGGCGTGCCTGGGCTCCCCATGGACAGAAGCTGTTTCATGGGACGCCAGAGTAACTCCTGCCTCCGGAGGGCCAGGGGACCTCGCAGGCAGGGGCTGCTACAGTGTCCTGATCGGAGCAGCCCTGCCTGCCCGGACAAAGGTCTCTCTTTTCAGTGCTAACAGCTAATTTAGAGCTAATCTTGTACGTATCTTGGGGGTTATATTTTTCCACGTGCATTTTATTTTGCCACTTTGCATTTATCAACATTGAATTTCACCTGCCATTGTGTTGCCCAGTCACCCAGTTTGGAGAGATCCCTTTGCAGTCAGCTTTGGACTTCACTAGCCTGAATAATTTTGTATCATCTGCAAATTTTGCCACCTCACTGTTTACCTTTTTTCCCCAGATAATTTATGAATATGCCCACCTGTACTGGCCCAAGTACAGGCCCCGGAAGGTCACCACTACTTACATCTCTCCATTCTCACCATTTATTCCTACCTGTTCTTGCCTATCTTTGAACTGGAGTGCAATGCATTCAGTATCATCTAATGAGCCCTAATGTAATTTATCAACAAGCCTTTTGTTATCTGACTTGGTCTGTCTCTGTTTATAGACAAACACTCTGCCCCAAAAGTGGAAGCTGGGAGGAGAACACCCTAAAGCTGAACTGCAGTTAAGAGCAGCATCTGGGGTTAGGGCATGCACTGTGAGGAGACTTCAGTATGAAATGGCACCCTGTTGCACTGGCTTCGGGCGTAACTCCACTTTCATTGTCCTAACACTGACTTCAATGCAAGTTGGCTCAGGCCCTAAAGAACCACCTAATTCTCTTCCAGATCCACCTGTGATGGGTAATGGGAACGAAATGTGTATTTAAATGTATTTGAACTTTCCTACTTTACTTTTTATTACACAGTCTCTGCGCAAAGTGACATCGCTGGCATCTGCCATTCCAAGCCCAAATTAGCGTCTCTGTCATTTCAGAGCTTACCCAGCTGGAGATTGTCATCCACTCAAACTTCTCAGGGAAATACTTTGCAATTCTGATTTTCTCCACAGGGAGGGCATAGTGAACAGCAAGCCTCTGCCTCAGTGCCCATGCTGTGCATTCCTTGGAAATATCCCACACCAAATCCACAGGGTGGTAGTAATCCCTCTCCCCGGGAATGCCCATCTGCACCCGAAGCAGCAAGTCACTGGGGCTGTGATCAGAAAAAATAAAATAAGGGCTAACAAATTTCTCGTGATTCACACTTTCAGGGGCCACACACATTCCTGATCAATTCTTCTCCTTCTAAGGAAAAATTCTGCTGGAAAATAAAAAGTAAAATGATCTGGATGTGAAAGAAAATATCCTAGAACAAAGCACTGACTGGAGCCTTGGCAGAAAGTTCTAAGTTAAGAACTGCTGGATGTAGTCTCAGCTAGTCATGTCTCTCAATAAAACAGACATTTGTAGTACTTACCTCAGATTCTCTTCCTTCTGTAAAGGTTCTAAACAGATTTCTGTTCTGCCTCCCAGTTTATGTTCACTAATAAAGAAAGACACATGAGTTTTATTAAGGTAACACATGGGTTTCGTTTTTTTTAATATTTAAAAAAATATGGGTTACAAGTTCAAGTTTAAAATGCTGGTGAACTATCTGATATTAAGTTACAAAGCTAAAGGCATGGCCTTTTTGAAAGAAATATGAGGGAAACAATCCAGTAAGGTACACATTACATTTTAAAAATTCTATTAATAAAAAAGTGAGCATAACCAATAAACTTAGCCTGATTTAAAAAACAAACACACGATATTCCAGATAGAAACATAATATTTTATAAAGGTTACTCAGCTCACAACACTGACATTGCCAGGAACGGGTTTTCTCTTAACACTGACTGAACTGATTTATTTGCCCATCAATCCATCTCCCAATCCAGCCATGCAGTATTGCAACAGGCTAGGTGTTCAATTAGAAACCTACTTGAGTTGCTGCTGGTTGTTTCGTAGAAGCTTGCCTGGGTGCTTGCTCTCCAGCGTCCAGGCTCTGAGAAACTCGGGTGACGGGACACTGAGCTTCTGGAAGGATGGCAAAGTCATGGCCTGAAAAAAACAAAACACCTCTTCAGTAAGTTTAGATGCCAGTCCGAGTGCCATGGGGTAGTAATGCCACACAATGTAACCCAATGGTCTGATTCTCTGTGCATTATTTAAGGAACCAGAAATATAAAGAATGAATTGATACAAATCTTCTTCTACTCTACTGTCCACTTAACTACTGTCCAGTGAGGACTACAAGGGACTGATTTGCTTTTCAGCCCCCAAACCAATCTGAGTCTACTCCCTCCTTCCCCCTCCTCCCCACATTCCTCAGTTTAAAACACAGTTTGAGATTCCTTGAAAACACTTACAAACTCTCACTGTATTTTGGGTTTAAAAGTGAATGCGATGAGACATGATTACTCCAGCCAGGCGCCAAGTACGCTTTCCCTGCTATTTTGCAAAAGGTACATCAAATGCATACTGCTGATTCCATTACGAGCTGGCGTGTGTGCAAAAAGGATGTAAACATTCAACATTGCCTTTTATATTAGTCAGTCATACAAAGTGCTTGGCTACAACTAAGCTATTCTAGTCTAGCCTCAACGTGGCATGTAATATGGAGCACAGTTAAGAAGAGAGTCCCTCTTCCCCATGCAGTGAAAATGGAACAACCAGTTGGGTGAATAATGTGCCCTCTGCAGTAGAATTTATAAATCGCTATTCAGTTAGATATGTTTTCTTGTCCAAAAGTTTGCTACAATTGCTACGGCATCAGAAATAATTACTGAAATGCACCTTAGTTTCCACCCAACCGGGCCAAATCCACATCTTCCAAAATGACAAAACCAGGCCTTCTTAGCACCAAAAGCAGTTACTGGATTGTTAAATTCAACATAAGAAACACAAAAAACTAACACAGGAACAATGTGGAAATGGAAAGTGGTTCTTTTGATCGTGTTTGTAGAGGTGTGTGTTTCTCTTACTGATCACTCTTACAATAGCAAGCTAAAAGTAGGCCTGCAAGCCATAAAAGGTAAAAGTTTCAGATGCAGTGCAGCATGACTTTAGCAGCTGGGAACATGTGAACGGTAGAATGGCACTTGCAGGAAACAGATACTAGGAAAATGTCTGAGCTACATGCTCATATTGCCTGTTGGTACTTACCACTGAACATGGCATATAAGCAAATGCCATATCAGAACATACTGGAGATGGGGGGAAAAGGAAATAAAAAATATATATTAATACAGCTCACTTACAGAAGCACAGTAGCATGGTAATAGACAAAGGGTAACATCTAACCTGAATTTTCAGATCCTCCAGAAAAGCTTCTGCTGAGATTTCTATATCGCCTGCATAACAAAGCCCAATGTCTGACTGGACATATGTTGGGGAATCTTTAAAGAAACCAATAGATAAACGTTACAGAAAACTGGCAATATGTAAGTAACTGCATGGCTTGTTCTATACAATATCTTGCTAAAAATCGTAACTGTTAAGGAAAAGTCAATCTGTGTTCAATAACTGCAAGATTTTACTTTCATTTGCTTAATTAACAATTCTCTAATGTTATATAATTTGATAAAATCTCTAATACTTTCTGTAAGATGCAAAAACTGGAGCAAATTTAGCCTGTCTTAATATTGCAATTTCAACTTATGACACAAATGAAGAAATTTAGAAAAGAAAGCATGTAAGTAGATCAGAAGCCAAGGCAAAGTGCAAAATAACATGATTTTCTGCTCTACCCATAAACTTTGAATGAACTTTGACAAGGTAGCAATGAAAGTTGCTAACTGAACAACATTCTAAGAAGTTTGGTACATCTTCCTGTCTTACAAAGTAAGAGTTACTTACTTTGTAAGAATTACTGACTAGTTATGCTAATTTGGAAGCAGGGAGGAAGATAACAAGAAACATGTTAGATAATGCAACAGAGGTTTGCACTAAAGAAAAGGTTTTTTTCCCACTTTGGAAGCAGCAGGAGGTGGGAAATAGCTCCCCCCCCAGTTTGCATTATTTCTCTACCTTATTTTATTCCGTCCTCACTTCATTTAATCTTCTTACCTTCACTTAATCTTTGTTTCATTTTATCAGTGTTAAAAATATTTTTTATCATTTTATCAATGTTAAAAAAGCAAACATTTCTAAGAAGAAAACACATGCATCACTCTTAGCAGCTCTGCCTTATTTACTCACCCATCGCTTTACAGACTGTGAAAAGTCACATGCTTCAGGAATACAGTGCAGCGCTCAGGTGCACACTGCTATTCACAACCCACAGTCCAAACTGTGGGACCGTGTACACAGTCTACCTAAGATCTGAAGACTATATAACCCAGTGGTGGGCTGCCTGCGGCCCGGGGAACACATGCAGCCCATCAGGAGTCTGTGTGTGGCCCACAAAACATTTTGTTCACTGTTGCCCATGAGCAGGTTTGCCAGACTGCACTGGTTTCCATTCACATAGGTTTTTTTCCTGCCAGTGATGCTAAAACAACACATCATAAAGCAAGGGCACAATGAGGTGAGGCACATGCTGATTGAAAACTGCGTGTTCTACTTCTGCATCCAAAGTGCTGCTACGGTTCAGTCGGCACACCCGTACATTCTGGGTGAGCAAGCAGAGTGAGCAAAACTACGCTCTCCCAGGAGACCATCTTGGTTATAACAATATTGCAGCACACCGAGACAAAGGACAGCCTCTCATGCGGTCCTCTCACTAGCCGAGGCTGCCCCTCACTGGTGTAATCCATAAAAAATCAGGTCCTTCAAGAAAATATTCTACAGATATTGCTGCCTACCTGGTAAATATGAGGTGGTTTTGCAAAAGGCCACTGTCTCAACTCAAGATGATCTTAGAAACCTTTATTTCTGAACACCTATAACTCACCTCCTGCTGGAGATACCCGCAATGTCCCCATCATGCCGTTCACTTGATCCTGCATGCTCTCTTGGTGTCCAAAGTGCATCAGAGGCTTGAACCACCAGATGGGCACTTTCAGGAATCCCTGTGCAGTGAACGAAAAGTACCTGATAACCTACTTGTAATGGTACAGAAGGTGAGGACAATTTGATTTTTGCTTCAGTAGAGAGGAAGCGTTTAACTCTGCAATGTTAACTTTTCATCTTGTCTTGTGTAAAGGACGCCAGCACTGGCCTCGGATTCCATCTTGTTCCACCTGTACGGGACCCAGTGATGAAACTGGTTACAGCCTACTGATGTCACTCAGTTTTGTCTCTATTACACCAGGCCCAATAGGTGTAATGCACCTCTTACTCAGAGTCCTGCAAAGACTGAGTCACTGTAAGAACTACCTGACATAAGACCTAAATGACATTGCTAGTTTGAGGAAAAGGTCAGGCTGTATGATGGGGGGTGGAACAGCTGCCATATAAGAAGTGATTAATAAGGGACTTTTCAGCTTGGAAAAGAGAAGAGGTCAATACAATCATGACTGATAAGAACGGCCATACTGTGTCAGATCAAAGTTCCAGCTAGCCCAGTATCCTGTCAGCCAACAGTGGCCAAAACCAGATGTTGGAGGGAACCCAACAGGTAATCATCACATGATCCCTTCCCAGTCACCCGCCTCCAGAGAAACAGAGGGTACGGTCACCATTCCTACCCATCCTGGCTAATAGCCATTGATAGACCTAACATTGAATCTATCTAGCTCTTTTCTAAACCCTCTTAAAGTCCTGGTCCTCACAACATCCTCTGGCAAGGAGTTCCAGAGGTTGACTGTGCACTGAGGCTACGTCTAGACTGCAAGCCTCTTTCAAAAAAGAGCGTCTGGACCACAACCAGTACTTTTGAAAAAGCAAGCCGCTTTTTCAAAAGAGAGCACCCCAGCAGTCTTTCGATTTACTTTTGAAAGAACGTGGCAGCAGCCTAGACGCAGGGGAAGTTTTTTCGGAAAAAGGCTACTATTGTCAAAAAAAACCCTATAGTCTACACACACCCTGAGAGAAGGAAATCTTCCTTTCATTTGTTTTAAACCTGCTGCCTATTAATCTAATGACTGATGTGGACAAAGTAATTAAGGAAGACTTATTTATTTGTTTCCATAACACAAGAACTAAGGGTAACCAAATAAAATTAATAAGTAGCAGGTTTAAAACAAATACAAGGAAATACTACTTCTCACAACGCACAGTTAACCTGTGGAACTCCTTGCCAGCGGATGTGGTGAAGGCCAGGACTGTCACATATTTCAAAAAAGAACAAGACAAATTCATGGAGGTTAGATCCATCAGTGGCTATTACCCAAGATGGCCAGGGATGGTGTCCCTAGCCTCTGTTTTCCAGAAGCTGGCAACAGAGACTAGATTGCTTGATGATTACCTGTTCTGTCAATTCCCTCTGGGGTGCCTGGCATTGGCCACTGTTGGAAGACAGACTACTGGGCTAGATGGACATGTAGTCTGACCCAATATGGCCATCTTTAAATGACACAGATTTCATCTGCCTCTCTGACTGAGGTGATATTTCTGCACATTATGGGGCTCTGGTTAGATTCCCAATTGCTATGGATGATCAGGAAATGGAAATGACCAGGATGACACACACTGTCCACATGTGACCAAGAGGTTGCAACCATTTCTTTCTGAGGCAGACCTATCACCACCCTTTCTCTGTCACTTCACTTCAAACCTACTGCAATATGCACCACACATTTTAAAACCATTTGTAAACAACCAGATTAAAAAAATGGTGCTCTGTAGGTGGCGTCTCTCACTTTTTGCACTTTACAGTGGAGTTTAAGGCTTAGGTTTTTCACTTACAAAGCTCTAAATGACTTATGATCTGCCCAATTGGAGCATAATACAAAGTGAGAATTTTACCTTTGGTGGCAGTTTCCCTTCAGTTATGACCAAAGTATCTCCACTGCAGACATTAAGCTCCTTCAGTGTGGCACCCTGAGGGATCAGAGAGCATACGATATTTTGTTAAGTTAATGAGTTTTTTGCACGTGTAAGCAGCATTCTGACTCTGCAGGCCTTAAAACCACAGGGGCTTGTTTTTCCATTCAAGAGCATTTTAAACTTCATCTGACTGCTCCTTACTTGATACAGACTCAACAACTGGGAATAAGAACAACCCAGGAAATTATAGACCGGTCAGTTTAACGTCTGTCCCAGGGAAGATAATGGAGCAGGTAATTAAGGAAATCATATGCAAACACTTGGAAGGTAATAAAGTGATAGGGAATAGCCAGCATGGGTTTGTGAAGAACAAGTCATGCCAAACTAATCTGATAGCTTTCTTTGATAGGATAACGAGCCTTGTGGATAAGGGAGAAGCGGTGGATGTCATATACCTAGACTTTAGTAAGGCATTTGATACGGTCTCGCATGATATTCTTATTGATAAACTAGGCAAATATAACTTAGATAGGGCCACGATAAGGTGGGTGCATAATTGGCTGGATAACCGTAGTCAGAGAGTTGTTGTTAACGGTTCTAAATCCTGCTGGAAAGGGATAACAAGTGGAGTTCCTCAAGGGTCTGTTTTGGGACCCGTACTGTTCAATATCTTCATCAATGATGTAGATATTGGGATAGAGAGTACTCTTATTAAGTTTGCAGATGATACCAAACTGGGTGGGGTTGCGACTTCTTTGGAGGATAGGGACATAATTCAAAATGACCTTAGCAAGTTAGAGAAATGGTCAGAGGTAAACAGGATGAGGTTTAATAAGGAGAAATGCAAAGTGCTCCACTTAGGAAGGAACAATCAGTTCCATACATACAAGATGGGAAGCGACTGTCTAGGAAGGAGCATGGCGGAAAGGGATCTAGGGGTCATAGTGGACCACAAGTTGAATATGAGTCAACAGTGTGATGCTGTTGCCAAAAAAGCAAATATGATTCTAGGTTGTATCAACAGGTGTGTTGTAAGCAAAACTCGTGAAGTCATTCTGCCGCTCTATTCTGCACTAGTTAGGCCTCAGCTGGAGTACTGTGTCCAGTTCTGGGCGCCACATTTCAAGAAAGATGTGGAGAAATTGGAAAGGGTACAGAGAAGAGTGACAAGAATGATTAAAGGTCTAGAGAAGCCTATGAAGCCAGGCTTCATGAACTGGGCTTGTTTAGTTTGGAAAAAAGAAGATTAAGGGGGGACATGATAGTGGTTTTCAAATATCTAAAAGGGTGTCACAAGGAGGAAGGTGAAAATTTGTTCCTCTTGGTTTCTGAGGACAGGACATGGAGTAATGGGCTTAAAGTGCAGCAGGGGAGGTTTAGATTGGACATTAGGAAAAAATTCCTAACTGTCAGGGTGGTCAAATATTGGAATAAATTGCCAAGGGAGGTGGTGGAATCTCCCTCTCTGGAGATATTTAAGAACAGGTTAGATAGACATCTGTCAGGGATGGTGTAGACGGAGCTTGGTCCTGCCTTGAGGGCGGGGGGCTGGACTCGATGACCTCTTGAGGTCCCTTCCAGTCCTATTATTCTATGATTCTAAGTTACATTAGATGGAGCAGGAATTGGGACTAAAGTGCTATGCCACCCCCAAACGAAATACCAACACCAATATACAAGTCTTCCCTTACTGTGGATCTGTGTTGCAAGAATAATAGGCGACTTAAATCATCAATTATTTAGATATTGGCATAGAAAGTACGCTTATTAAGTTTGCAGATGATACCAAGCTGGGAGGGGTTGCAACTGCTCTGGAGGATAGGGTCATAATTCAAAATGATCTGGACAAATTGGAGAAATGGTCTGAGGTAAACAGGATGAAGTTTAATAAAGACAAATGTAAAGTGCTCCACTTAGGAAGGAACAATCAGTTTCACACATACAGAATGGGAAGAGACTGTCTAGGAAGGAGTACGGCAGAAAGGGATCTAGGTGTTATAGTGGACCACAAGCTGAATGAGTCAGCAGTGTGATGCTGTTGCAAAGAAAGCAAACATGATTCTGGGATGCATTAACAGGTGTGTTGTGAGCAAGACACGAGAAGTCATTCTTCCGCTCTACTCTGCGCTGGTTAGGCCTCAGTTGGAGTACTGTGTCCAGTTCTGGGCACTGCATTTCAAGAAAGATGTGGAGAAATTAGAGAGGGTCCAGAGAAGAGCAACAAGAATGATTAAAGGTCTAGAGAACATGACCTATGAAGGAAGGCTGAAAGAATTGGGTTTGTTTAGTTTAGAAAAGAGAAGACTGAGGGGGGATATGAGAGCCGTTTTCAGGTATCTAAAAGGGTATCATAAGGAGGAGGGAGAAAACTTGTTCATCTTGGCCTCTCAGGATAGAACAAGAAGCAATGGGCTTAAACTGCAACAAGGGAGGTTTAGGTTGGACATTAGGAAAAAGTTTCTAACTGTCAGGGTAGTTAAACACTGGAATAAATTGCCCAGGGAGGTTGTGGAATCTCCATATCTGGAGATATATAAGAGTAGGTTAGATAAATGTCTATCAAGGATGGTCTAGACAGTATTTGGTCCTGCCATGAAGGCAGGGGACTGGACTCGATGACCTCTCGAGGTCCCTTCCTGTCCTAGTATTCTATGTTTCTATTGCTCTCTGGTTCCCATTTCCTCTGAAGCTCCCTAACTTATCAATAAATGATAATAATTCCTAGTTCTCATCAGCAGACCTAACGCTCCCCTAACATACCAAGTTCTAAGCTTCAAGAAACAATTTTATGGAAAAATCTTTAACGGTATCCACAGCAAATCCCTCCAACACGAATACTGTGTGTTACATATTCTGTATTCTCATTCTTGCCAAATCAACAACATAAAATAGGACATAACCTGTACTATACCACAGACTTAGGAGCCCCTAATATAGTCGCTTTTTATGTAAAACATCAGAACAAAAAGGAAAACATTCACTGCCTTAGCAGGAAAGTAAAATATAGGGCTCTCTTACTTCCTCGCTTAATGCCTCTCCAGCTTCATAGCACCAATCAATTCTTCTCAAGTGCCAGCTGTCCCCTGCAAAAACCAGAACACTGACAACATTCAGCAAAATATCACTCTGGCAAAAGAATACATAAATACTCCCTTCCTAATTTGTACATTGCTCAACTTTGACAAAATGTTAGAGATTAAATGGATGTCAAAATTCAGAGAAGAATAAACTAGTTTTAGATACCATACATTCCCAAGTCCCTAAAACAATTTGTTGTTTTGCTACCATATTTCCCAATTTTATACATGTGTTACTCTCTCTCTTCCTGTAACCAGAGGAAACTAATAAAAAGTAGAGGGAAGTAAATAGTTGGCTTTACAAAATACTGTGAAATACAAAGAAAACAAAATTTAAAAAATTGAGAAAAATGTTATGATTTCAGCTATAACAAAAATGTAGTGTTACTTGTAGGTATATTTTCAAAGCGATACAGGTTTAAAGTTGATAGTGGCTTCTTAAAAAAGAACACAACTGTGTTGCCATAGGAAAAGGGTATTTTTACTGCCTCCAAAATGTCAGGGCTGATTTGCTCTGGGATTATAATATGTTAATTACTGTCACAGAAAAACAGAGTTTAGCATCGCAATACATAAGAGCAGTTATTTTTGTTCTCAAATTTTTCCTCTGAGGAAAGTATTATACAAATATTTATACATGCATGCATTTTAAAGTCTAAAATTTGATGTTCCTAAACTGAAATCCCTAAATCCAGACAGAATTATCTTAATAAAATACAGGGGGAGGAAGCATATCCAAAAGACTTTTTAAGTGGGGAAAAAAAGAATCCAAGTGATAAGAAACACAAATAGTATTAGAAAGAGAACACCTAGTTCCACGAGCTTCTGTATGCAAGCCAAATTCAGCCTTTCAGGGCTGGTGATATAAAATAACTACATATAAGAAGCACAGTGCCATTGCTTTCATGGCAGTAAAATGAACACATACAGAAATCAATTAAACTAATTTTTTCAAATACATTTACCTGCAGGATGGCATGCACGCATACAGAGAAGTTTTAGGTTGGCTACTTAATGTGTACTCTAATACAAGTACTTGTATGTAGATGAAAATGTTTTCTGAATATGAACTTTCCTATTTTCTGGATTATGCAACCTTCATGATACAGTAATATAGAATTTTGCATTTAATTCATATTTGTTTCAGTGCTCAAGCTATGAGAAGCGATGGCAACCTTGTTCCAACGAGAAATGCTGTGCTGACAAAACCATTGATATAGCCAACAACCACTACATAGCGTCTGCATGTTCATTTCTGTTAGCAGCTTTAATAATGGGATGCTCCAAAGCACATGCTCACAGATGCAATTTTTCCTTTGATTTCACTTTCACACTTTTGTTGGCAAAGCGATTTAAAGATCTCTATTGATTGTGATCACTGACGTCCAGGGTGAGATTTTGCCCAATTTAGATGGACAAAGAACAAAGCATGAACTTCACTGTACTGAGATTGCTGAGCTTCATAATTGTCTCCAGTCTCAATTTATCATCTCTCTCTTTAGATCACAATGATGTAAATTAGCTTAATTAAAACAAATACTTTTTAAGCTTGTAGAGTGCACAAAAGAACACTGAACACGTTAGACAAACTACTTGTTACAACTAACCTGATAACCCAGACTTATCCAGCATTAAATTTAGACACTGGGGAGGGAAAAAAAAAGAAAGAAAAATACATGGTTATATTTCATTTCAATACACAATTTGAAAAATAATTTCATTTACAAAACTAGATTTTTCCAGAGTGTGACCAGAACTCTGCTTCTATTTAAAAAACAGCTCCCTTCGCAGACCGGCTGTGTGATACAGAGGTGGCAGCAGCCCCCGTCTGGTGTGGGAGGGTGTTCCTGAACTCCGGGACCCGGTGTGAGCCAGAACTGAACCAGGCGGCCTGCCCACCTAGCTCCTAATACACTTTAAATGCAGCGTTGCAGTGGGAGTGGGTCCCGGATCCATAGCAAGCCAGGGCTGCTGGCCAGCCTGCTAAAAAATTTACTGGCAGTGAGGGAGGGGATGCATGTAGTCCATAGTATTAACCTATAAGCTTTTGCTGATCAGTTTATCAACAACACTATTTCATCCCTAGTTCTGATCAGTCCACAAGCAGATTTCTCTCCCCACCATCTTTAAGGCCCTCAAGCGATTTCTCTCCCTGCCCTACTTTTGAAGTTTTCCCCAATAGACCACATGCCTGAAATGTAAGGGACATGTGCTGTACCAGAGATGCTGCTGTGCAGCAATACACAGTAGCAGGGAAACAGTGCCGAGGTGCAGAGGAGCTGGCATTGGAGTGCTGAAATGTCCATGAAAACCAGAAGAATTCCTGTACTTGCCTCTCTCGCCGATGCAGACTCTTCCACTACTATTTCCATCTCGTGGCCTCCCTGCAGATCACTCGCAACAACAAAATACAAGAAGAGCTAAGAAAAGGACAGCATGTCAAGTTAAAGCCCAAAGGACATGCAGCATGTTTCATATACACACACATAATAGAGTTACACACTTAATTCCAGAATAAGGCTACGGCAGACTATTTCAGACGCAGTACAAATATGGGGAGTCCATCAAAACCACTATACAGACTCTCAGAACATACAGCTAAAAATGAAACAGGACTAAGTTTTCTTCGTATCCACTACATGTTATTTTTTTACAGCAGGGCTGCCTCTCTAACAAAACAAAACAGCACTGAAATCCTCTCATGGCAAAGCATACAAGAGCAGTCTTTACGGTTACAAATTAAATAAGGCAGGGAAAGTGCTGAGCAGAGTAAGTGACAGCGTTCCTATTACCGCCAACTCTCCAAGGTGAGTAAACCAATTAGCATGTTTCATAAAAGGAACGAGCGCTTCTCCTGTACTGCTATTAACTCTATGAAGCGTTCTGACAAGAAAATACAAATAAGGACTAGCAGGAAAGGTAAATATGATCAAAGTCTTTTGTGCTAAGTCCTCTTTCTGCATATCCCTACTCTCTTACCTGAGTGGAAGTTGGCGCTTTCCCATGACAGAGTCCTAACAGGCTTCCCATCTTTAGCTCTGCTTCTTTGACTGTATAATCCTCAGGCACTTCGCAGAGGAGAAAAAAAACAGAAAAACACAATAAAAGTTTGTTTCCAGTCTGTTCATTAAAGTACTGATGCAAACACTGAACTGTTAATACATTGTTCATGCTTATTTGTCTAGTCTATTCCAAAATCCTGCTATTGTGTATCAACTTTAATTATTTAACAATATTAACATTCTGTTTGTAATGTTCATAGGAATAGATTATGTAAATCCACAAAGAGGGACTCTTCTTTTCCTCAAAAGGTTGGCAAGCAGCCTTACAAATGAAAGGAGCTAGTGACTGATATTTTTAGCAAAATACAAATTTCTCTATTTTCTTTATACATTTTAAGTGACTTACTGAATACAGTAAGTTGCATCTGATGAAGTGGGTCTTTGCCCACGAAAGCTTATGCTCCAACACTTCAGTTAGTCTATAAGGTGCCACAGGACTCCTCGCTGCTTTTACTGAATACAAATAGCTCTTTTCAGCTACATAGTATATATTGTACAGAGGAGTGGCTCACTTTTTGTGCATTTCTGCAGCAATCCAGCATCCAGTTAATTTAGATGCAAGTAATAAAAAGGCAATTAAATGGTTTCTTTGTCTGCCAGTGGAAATGCTAGAAGACAAGCTTTACTACTGGAAAAAAATTCTCCTGTTTTGGTTAAATATGAAAATACCATGAAATACTGATTCATCACTTTAATGAGTCATCAGATTTGCATATAGAGTTGGGTGAAACTGTTACAATGAAGAGTTGATCAACCTGAAGCTAATTGGCAAACGCAGTAAGAATAGATTAGGCATTGCTGAAAAACTGAAATATTTCAGTAATATAAGAACAAAACCGTTTAATTTCAACATTACCAAAACATTCTGAGTTTTGGGACTGGAGTCGCAATACCATCTAAGGCAGTGGTGGCAACCCCTCAGCCCTCCTTTTAACTTTTAGCCCAGTGACAGGGGTCCAATTCCCTCTCTTCTTGAAGGAAGAAGCCATTTGAACATTGGTCTCCTACACTGCAAGTGCACGTCTTAGTCACTGGCTTATGGAGATTATCCTGCACAGTGTCCCCTGGGCGCAGCCGCAACACTAAGGGAGTTGCCAGCAGGGCTGGGGCTCCCTCATCTTGCCTGCGAGCACACCGGGTAAGTAGCACCTCTGCCCCAAACTCTCTCACTGCCCCGCCACAGTGCTGGGAGAAGGAGGAGGGGGTCAGAAAAAAGGCCCCTAGCATCTGGGAGGAAAGGGGGCTGGAGAGAAGAGAAAAGGACCTCTGGGGACAGGGGAGGCTGGAGGAGAGAAAAGGGCCCCCAATGGTTGGGGAGAAAAAAGGCCCATGGCAGATGGGACCTCCCACCCTGTGCCCCTCCTCACCCTCCAACCCTCATTTTTGCACACACCCCTGCTCAGCTTCCTGCACCACTACCCCACATCTCCAACACCCTGCTTGGAGTTCTCCAATCCCCTCTCCCTCACACACACACCACCAGCCCCTTGCCCTGAAGGACCAGGGCAATGCCGGTAAGTCTGCTTGTTTATTATAATTATGAATTAACACTAGGCTGTGAAGGCTGGGACTATAACAGAATTTAAAGAGACGCTAGATAATTTCATGGAGGTTAGGTCCATAAAAGGCTATTAGCCAGGGGATAGAAATGGTGTCCCTGGCCTCTCTTTGTCAGAGGCTAGAGAATGATGGCAGGAGACAAATCCCTTGATCATTGTCTTCAGTCCATCCTCTCTGGGGCACCTGGTGCTGGCCAATGTCGGCAGACGGGGTACTGGGCTAGATGGACCTGTGGTCTGACCCAGTACGGCTGTTCTTATGTTCTTACTATGAATGATAATGACTCCATCATTCACCCAGCTATACTTGTATGTTCTATTTCTCATTCAATATAGCAGCTATGCAGCTTCTCCTCTGCTTTATCTAAAAAACAATTCCTAGAGGGGCTTACCTGGAGAAAGAAGCTTCCCACTCTCATTAACAGGTCTGAGACAGCTGGCATCCACTGCAGTAGAAGAAAAAGGACAAGACAAATTGAATAGATAAAAATCATATTAAATCAGCTCAGCTGTTTGGAATGTAGGACTGAAAATTAATTAATTGGAGGCATCGCATAGTGGAAAAATTGTTGCCCCTAAGGTGAAGCATCTATATCACAACTTGGATGCACTTCCAATAGGTCAAGAAAACTGATTAGCCTCACATCCTTAGTGGGGCATTATTTTCCCAAAGTCAGCTAGTTAACAAATATAACAGCTTGAATACTGTGATTGGCCAAAGTTTCTAACTTTAGTAACACGTTATTAAAAATGCCTTTAAGTCAGTCTTTTAGGGAAGGATAGAAAGAGTAAGGCAGTGTCTAGACTGGCAAGTTTATCCGCAAAATCATCTGCTTTTGCGGAAAAACTTGCCAGCTGTCTACACTGGCCACTTGAATTTCCGCAAAAGCACTGACGATCTCATGTAAGATTGTCAGTGCTTTTGCGGAAATACTATGCTGCTCCCGTTCGGGCAAAAGTCTTTTTCCGAAAAACTTTTGCGCAAAAGGGCTAGTGTACACAGCAGAGAAAATGGCAATCGGGGCTTTTTTGCGGAAAAGCACGTCTAGATTGGCCACGGACGCTTTTCCGCAAAGAGTGCTTTTGCGGAAAAGCGTCCTGCCAATCTAGACGTGCTTTTCCAAAAATGCTTTTAACGGACAACTTTTCCGTTAAAAGCATTTCCGTAAAATCATGCCAGTGTAGACGTAGCCTAAGTGTTATAGAAAGCCAAGTTACCAGCAGTCTCAGAATTGCTTCCATGCGCAATTAAAAAAACAACAAGTAAACAAGTTGGCCTACAAAAAATGGCTCCTAGGAAAAGTAGTGGGTGAGTACAAATTAGATTGCTACTAGAATATACATATTCTCATCAGCAGTCAGTCTGGTACGTTATAGTATTTGTCACCAGGAAGCTGTTATTTTATTCCCAACTGGAGGAGAACCAAATCCCTTACATCCTGCAGCAGAAAAAACTTTTTAAAGCTTTAATATTAAAAAGCAATTCCCATCTCTCAGGTAATCTCCCATTTGTAAACACTAAAAGCCATCTTCCTTCTGTAAACTCTAAAAGCCATCCAGCAACCAGAAATCAACATATCACCAACTAAAATATTATTGAAGTTATTTACCTAGATCCTCCCCTAATTGCAGCTCCTGTATTGCTTTAATTTTGATATCTGACATCACCTAAGAGAGAAATATTAGTGACTACATTTTAGGGTACACAAAAACAGAATATAAATGGTGTGTGCGCACGCGCATGCACGCGCACAAAATATATACATATGGTGTTCAAGCATTAAAACTATTACTATTTATTTACGATGCATTAAATTCTCTTTCATTGTGCTGATCTGATAAAATAGCTCCTTATTATCAGTTTAATCAGACTTCAGCCCAAAAGAAAATTCACCAACTAGAAATTGACACACTATGTGGCACATAATGTTTAATGTTTTTTCTGTAGGACAAAACAACATCGGGAGAAAGAGCAAGTGAAGCCATAGGGGAATTATATCTTAATGACAAATTTAGGAAAGTGAAGCTGTAGTTAATGTAGAAGGAGATTAAGAAGACAACTCAGATGTATAAATAGCAGACGATGAAATCAAATGAAAAGGTTTCAAAGGATGGGAGTCAGATTCAGAAGACAGGGGAGTTTGAGAACTTGTACAGGAAGTAATTAACGTGTAAAATACACATAAAAGAAGCAATAAAAGATGTGGACATTACACAGAAACCAAAAGCCAGTTGAATAATTTACGCGTTTGATGAAACTGCACAGATTCCTTCTGTTATTTTACTGTTAAGATCTTGCAAAACACACACACACACACACACAGACAGCCCATCACTTTTTCCATTGTAACTTTGTAACAAAAAGAACTATTTTCTTCATAAAGAGATATTTAAAGTTTTATTCTCGAAGACAATCGCATAAAACACACGGTTTTCATGACGACCCCACAGAAAAGCTGTTGTAGAAGATTACTACAGTCTATCTCAGTGAATTTTAGCCTTGTATAGGTTGTGGATACATTATGGAATTAGGTTTTTTTTTCAAATCAGATACACAGGTGTCTGTCTCAAGTACACAGACTATGCAGCTTATTCAGGCTCTTACAGGTGACAACTCCAAGCCTGCCCCTCCCCCATGCTGTTTTCTGACATAAGTTCAACTGAAAAGTCCCAAGGTGAAATCCTGATCTTACTGCAGTCCATGGGAATTTCACCTTTGATTTAAATAGGGCCAGGATTTTACTCCCCGCGATTAGCCCAACTGCACTGAAGAAGGTGGGCAGAGTAAGGGAAGAATTCTGTTAACCCCCGAATTACTCACTGTTTCAACAGTTGCAGTGATTTTAACTTGCTTTTCCTCTGCTTCCAACCGGCAGAAATTTTTAACTTGTAGCCAGCTGATATCATGTGTAAAAGCAGTCAAATTGCCACTTGCCATATTCACCAAACTGCAAACAAGACATAGTTAGAGCACAGATTTATATACTATATGTAAGCAAAAAATGTAGGAAAAATGCACATTACTTACGCTGAGGTAGAATGCTAAATGCCACAGTGTCTTATTGTTTATATATAAACTAGGTATTATTACGCCTACTTGTAGCATGGTGACACCCAAAGGCCCCCCTCAGTTTAAGAGTCCTTCATAGGCAGGTATTGTACAAACTGAAATAGTTATGGGTACATTTTTTAAAAATGTCTTGGGGAGTTAGGAGCCTAATTTCAATTTTCAAAGGGGATTTGACAGTAGAGCATCTAAGGGTAGGTCAATACTACAACATTACATTGACCTAAGTTACAGCGGCATTCCGCCATCGCAGTATTTGAATTGCTTTTGCATGTCCATGCTACTTTCCTTGGGCCAGCGCCATTTATCCTCGCCATGAGCACTTGCACCGACTGAACTGTCACTGTGCAGCATGGTGGGACGGCTTCTGGAAGGCAGCCATAGTTGATGTAAAGCACACTGAGACTACATCAATCTAACTAAACCAACGATGAGTCTACACCTCTTGTGGGGATGGACTCAAGTTGGGATAGCAGAAAAGATACATTGGCAGGAGTGACATTTTTGTGTAGTTGCTTACAGAGTTAGCTCGATGTCAGCTGCCTTACATCAACCTAACAAGTGTTGAAGAAAGAAAAAATTATGACAGCTACCTTTGGTCGTGGCTATCTAAAACTAATATCGAGCTTCCATCTGCCAGACCAACACTTCTGACTGTGCTCTTCATATCCTCTTCACAAATGACTTTCCAATTCTCCAGCTCTCTGTCAGATCCTGAACTGTTCTTTAAGATGATCCCCCCTGGCGATGCTAAGGCTTTCCACAGGGTACTCAGTTCTGCACTGCTTGGAATGACATGCTGGGATTCTCTGAAATGCTGACCTCTTCCTCCTTCATTATAGCCCGCCAAACGAAGAACATTTAGGAGCACAGGTTCATGGTCAAGACCTGGTAACACCTCCATACCACCGACCTGTAGGACACATGCAACATCTGCAGATGAAGGGTAATCAGCAACCGCAAGAGCCAACAAAGCACTGATGGTTCTAGCTGCTCAGGCATTCAAGACAAGGAAGTCTTGCTTTTTTCCCCACCTCATTAGAATTAAAACTCTCCCGACTGAATTCCACCTGAAGAGCTTGCTAAAGAACATAAAAGGTGCCAAAAAAAGGCTATAATGCTGGGAGGGCAGGGATTCCTGTAACACAGCATCCATCCTGAAAATACTGGTGGTAAAGGGGGAAAAAATGGGATGGTAATGGGATTATTTAAATCTTTTAGCATAGACTCCTGGGAACACCTGCAGCGATATTACCTGGATCTGAACACTAACATACTGCATCTAAGTTTCAGTCAGACAGATAATCATCGTCAACCCTCACTGATTTACCCCTTTAAGATATTTATGAATGATACATGTTTATTCAGTGTAAAAATACGTAAGAAATAGACCAAGGCAGCTCAAAAATTAAAGTAATTTTAAAGAAAAGTTGGGATACTGTGAAGATTAGCAAGGGAACAAAAATAAATGTGCATGTCAAGAATAAAGCTGAAACTGTTGACATTACATTTGTTTTAATTAGTTATTGGATGTTTTACACTGAATTTCTAATTGGAACCGGACACATATTTTGCAACAAGGTATAAAAGATTCCCTATAATAGCTCACTCTATTATAGAAAAATGAAGTATTTAGAAATAACAGAAACTAATACTTCTGTAGGCAAGCCATTTCCCAATACTACATAACTGTTGCATTTTAGATGTTTGATGCTGAAACTAAACAGAAGCCTTTATGTTCAAAAGAAGAGAGTGATCCAAGGAGAGCATGCTGTGTTTCAATGAATTACAGTGAGCCCTCGCTACTTCGCGGTTCGACCATCGCGGATTCACGACTTCGCGGACTTTTTTCATTACGTATGTATATATTATAAAAGAAATATATCGCGGATTTAAAAGTTTTAAAACTTTTAAAAGTCTGAATATACATGTTAAATAAATACGTAAATATGGTGTCCCTACTTCGCGGATTTTCAGCTATCGCGGTCGGGTTTGGAACCTATCTACCGCGATAAACGAGGGTTCACTGTATGCTTTTACATATGGTGTCAATCACTGACGCAAATGTAGCTGTTTGCTGGATGTTGTGCAGCTGAGCACCTATACTGCATCATAAACCGACCAAACAGATAGTAAATTTAAGACTTTACTACAGCTTATTTTCTATGGAATTAAAAAAAAATCTATGAAGTAATCATCTGGGAATCTGATGGACTATCACACACTGTATGTGGTACACTCTGTTTACATACCCATGTCCTACCAGGAAAATAATGTACCTTGAGGATCATGAAAGGTATATTCACAAGCAGCAGAGAGGGGACCATCTGTGAAGGAGGCTGAAGCAGTGCTACCATATTTGGAGGTTGGTCAAATATTGCCAGCATGCCTCAAAAAAGCATTTTAAGGGATTTTACACGACCAGAAACCTTTTGCTTATATGAAAAAAATCAGCTTCTCGGGCAATGTAAAATAGGATCTATTTTCCTGTTCTCTCACCTCCTTGCCATTCCACACAAAGACATCTGCCCCATCGGCAAGTCCAATGCCAGCCAAAGTCATCTCATCTCCTGAAAAGATCAAATCATCAAGTTTTTCCCAGTAGGTAACTCATGTCAGCTGGCAAACTGGACACAGAATAGATTTCTGTAACATTCGGATGTTCCCTCTAGATGTAAAGTCTGAAGAACAGATGAAGAAGAGGGCCCAGTCATGTAATGTGACCCAGGCCCATATACCTCTGTGGAGTCAACAGGCCTTTTGGTAGACATAAGGGTCCACCTAGGCAAATCCTTCTGCAGGGCTGTAACATTAATCTCTTATCTGTATGATCAATAACTTGCTATACAAGATTTAAATTTACATTTTTATATTTAATAAATAACTGTTAAAGTAGTCATGTACTGTATCCTTAGAGCCAGCATCTGACATCTAAGTCTTTATGTTTAACTTTAGCATGCAACTAGCTCCATCTTCTTACCAGAATACAGACTAAATGACAATTACTTTAAATCCACAAAGAACACATGAAAATTTGCAAGAACACTTACAAACGTTTTTTTTAGCTTCTGTTTTTCTGACATTTATGTTATACAAATATTACTTGAGCATTTTTGGCAACCTAGTTTTCTGAGGCAGACAGACCATGACCTACCCAAGTAAAAACTGAAGCAATGGACACTGCATATCGCTCAACAAGAAGTAAAGATTTTTTTAAATGTCTGTCCTAATATCTAAAATGACAAAGCCATATGAAGTTGTGTCAAGACTAATAAAAGACAAATTCATTATATCTTAATTGAGCTGTATATTGTGCTATTTATATAAAAAACCCTTTCCTCTTAAAGTTTTCACTCAGCTTAACAAGTCCAGTCCACTTCTGTTTGCTACTATCCGGCCTCTCAGATCTTAAGAATTAGATAAATACTACTAATAAAATTGTACACATCTGCAAATCTGATTAATTCTCAAAAAGAGACCTGAACTTTGCATCCTGCTTCCCAAAGGTTTCACAGAAGAGCCAGTGTAAGGATCATAAAACTTTATTATGTTGTAATATTATTTTATTTATTATATGTATTATCATGGTTCCTAGTCGTGGACCAGGTTCCACTGTCTTAGGTATTGAACACACACAAATAAATAACAGCTTCTGTTCCACACAGCTTACAGCCTAAGTTAAGTTTCCCATAAATAGGATCAAGACTGAAGAAATTGCACTGGATTGCAAATAGGTCAAACTGAACACTGAGGTTAATAAAATGTAATATATTCATCCAATAAGCTCAGAAATGGAATATCTTCACAATGCCATAAGCAAGATATAAAGGATGCAAATAAGAAATGAAGTCTTATTTTATGCTGGTCTTACCATCAAGTGTTTGGTAAAGATGAAGTCCAGCTGGTAGAGACTTTGCAATGCTGAGAATCATGTCTCCTTCCCAAAATTCCAACAGCTAATGGGTATAAATAAAACAGATTATGAAAAAAGTAAGAAAGTTGTAACCCCTCAGCAATGTTTCAAACTGATTGAGGTCTCTTCCAAACCTACTCTTCTATGATTTTAAGTAGTCTTTCAGACAGCAAAATGTCAAATACTACAGACATTTTTTTCTTCTTGGAATACAGAGCACAGTCACATCCACAATTTTATGTTGTCACTGTAAAGATACAATGTTTATGTTAACGCTCAGAAAAGAGTAAATACCTGAAATATCGATTGCCGGACATCTCCCAGGGTTTTTCTTTTATCAATAGTCAGATCCAGCACACTGTCCTTCCGAGAAAGCGATGGGTGTAAGGCCCCGTTGTAAAGTTTATAGTGAGAGCCCAAATGGAGATGCAAATCAATATTATAGTCTGCAGAATCACAGTCCATCCTTTTAAAAAAGCATATCAAATATGCATCAATACCATCTGCCAAATTAGGATAATGATACTTTGCTTCCTTTGTAAAGCACTTTGAGATCTCCAAATGAAAATTATTGATGGCTATATTACATACCTTCTCTTGTGCAGTTCAATGTTGGCAGCATCCATTTCATTCAAAAGATGGTCAGGAACCCGGTATCTTGGATTTGCTTGTGCTGTGACCAAAGCAAGCTGATTAGCTTGGTTCTAGTTGTATAAAGCCCTACTGACAGTACTAGGAGAGGGTTCTCAAAGCCAGTCCTCCCAATGCAGTAGTCTTTTAAATTCTTTAATGAAGAAGGTGGTGGGTTCTTTTATAATGGAACCTTAAATTGCAGGTAGATACAACATGCACATTTTATTTCGGTTTATACTCCTATTACGTTTTATTTAATTAAATACTAGGCATAACTATTACAATCAACGTTTTTATAGTGTATTTTCATTACACGAGTGACTTATGTGTCTGTTTGTGGAAGATGCTGGAAAATATTGGCAACTGGAGACCATTAACTGCCTAATTTATCACCACTATTCACACCACTTAATTGAATTTCCTGCTAACACTTTCCTCCACTTTGTAGTGGGAGCATTTTTCTACTCCTTTTGAGCAGAACTCCACTGCTGGACTGTTGATTGTGTGTGTGTGTGTGTGTGTTTTAAGTAAAAGGAATTTTGTGGAGGGAAGAAAAATCCATCAAGGTGAATATTTTTCATACCTTCAGGTGGTCTTTTCAATTGGGATTTTCGATAAAACAGCATGTAGGCACTCTCTTTACCCTGAAATTGTTTCTCAATATCCTTCTCCTTAATGGGCTGGACTTTTGAATCATTCAAGTCAAACCAATGGGAACCAGAGGTGTTGTCCTTCAACACTGTACATAGACTTTCTGAAGTCCACTGGACATCACTGTCCTGAGAAGGGCTTTGCAGACCTTGTCCTTGGGAATCTGACCCAAATTGGAGCTTATGGTACATTTCCTTGAGACTAACCTTATTTTCATCAGGACTGAGTAGAAATATCTGAGAATGATTCTGCAAATACTGAAAAGGAAGAAAAATACAGAAAAATGAAAGACACATCTATTACATGTGCAAAGCTGTATTTGCCAATTTCAGGCCTTCTTTGCATAGTTTGTTCTCCCTGAAGTAATGCCCACTTTTAGGTTGCTCTGAAAAATCTGCTTCTGCCATGTTTCCTAGAGTGATTCACCTTAATTTGTATAGAAAACCCCTTTCATTGCTCCCCTCATGTGTTAAACCTTAGGCTGAAGGCTTCTCAGGGCAGGAATCTTCCTTTCTTGTTCGCAGAAACACAGCGGGGATAGCTGCCAGAACCTGGTATGAGCCAGGACTGAGTCAGCCTGACTGCACGCCAGCTCCCAACAGCCTTTAAATGTAGAGCTGCTTATCTGTTCATTTTTGTCAGCTACAATTACCAAAGTACATGCTTCTGAACATCCCTACATATGACCACTGTGATATAAGGTTTCATTTGATACCTCACACAACATTCTTCTTAGATAAATACTATGACAGCAATATAGTGGGGGTAGTGAACATTTGTCTGGCCTGATAAGAATTAAAGAGTAATGACCACCCCATAGGCCTGTGTCATACTCTCAAGATAAATCACTCAAAAGGTTAAAAATGAATTCAAACTCAAAATTCAAATCCAGCAGTTTCCTTTTCTATTGCAATGCAATTCTTAAACTGCCAAGCCTGAGAATTTAGCTCAAGTGGTAATTTTTTGGATGAGTTCTGAACTACCAAGGAGAAGGATTCAGAATAAGAGTTTCATTACCATCATGACAATTGAGCTGCTAGTTCAAGAACACTGTATTTTTAAATTATTAGCATCTTTATATGTACTGGCATTTCTAAATACATTGCTTTCTGTATTTTCATTCATAAATTAGACTTGCATTACAGATTACTTGCTGGGAAAGAAGAGCCACTGCTATTATTATTAATATTTGAAATTTCATAAAATCACCAGTTTAAAAATCTTAAACTTTTAGGCTTAGTTAAAATTAACTAATGTATCTATGTCGATTTTTCTATTTTTGTTACCTTTCGTATAGGTCCATATTGTTTCCGGTATTTTTTGTTCCAGGACACTCCTTTCTTCTCCAGTAGTTTCTGCCCTAACTGATCCACAGGAATTTGTTTAGATTCTTCCTAACAGAATACAGTTAAAGATTTTGAGCTGATGAAATGGTGGGGGAAACCACAAACACACCAAGAAATATACAATAAACAGAAATGGTAATAAACCAATTGATTTTACTAGCCTTTGAAACAGCTTGGGTAAACTACTTTAAATAATTAATGGCGTAGCCAAACAAGTATTCAGAGAGAACCAGTGAATGACTACTTGTATTATACACTGAAAGTGTAAAACTGATTTTTAATATAATTCAGCTCCTTGCTGAATTATTAGGTCAAGTTTAGATTTTCCCCACTCCTCCACCCCCCACTTATCCTCTCTCTACATTTCCCACCCCAGTTTCAGATCAGTAATTAATTGGGAGCAGTAAAGATGTTTACATACCATACCTCTGATAAGATCTCTTTCAGGACTGTCAGTGGATTCTCCATTTCTTTGACATTTTCAGTTTCTTTCTGATCCTTCTCTTTAGACATCAGTTTGCTTTCCTCCTCCTGAAAAAGATCATTTATGGGGTCCTTACTACAAGGCTATGGAAATAAAGATTAGTATGTCAAACAGAAATGCATATTTTTCACTTTGATTTCTAGCACAGATTCTTCTCTCTCACAGAATTATTAGAGGAGATGACAAATGTTAGATTCAAAGATTGCCAGTGCAAACAAGATTCAGTGAATAGAAATTCCAAGAACTTTCACATTGTAACAAAATAATTTCTGAAGAGGACTATCAAACCTCATACAGGACATTGAACACTATAGCTGCTGAAATCATTTTCAATTTCTGATACAGGTTGGCCAGCATCAGAGACAATGCTGAAAGTCTAACATTCTAAACTTGGTAGGCACCTGGGAGCCAAAATCACTGTCTAAACCATATGCTGTGACCTAACACAGCAGGATAGGAAATAGACAATCAAAATCAAGTCACAAAGTTTGATGCGGTTTCCAGTCTCTGATTAGAAGAAATAATTCCTCAGCTGTATAAGTGGTCTGTTCTCAGTATAGGAAAGCTTAAGTGAAGGCCTTACTAGACTATTTTCGTTGATACAAAGTGTATATTAAAAACATTACAGCATTTCAAGGAATTGAAACTCACCACGCAGGAGAAAAGCCACACAAAATGAGTGTTCTAAACTTACTTTCAATTGCCAATTTCCCAGTGCATCTACATCTTTGATATATACATGGTAGTGTCCTCCATAGCAGCCACCTTTGTGTATAATAACAGAGAACAGCTCATATATGTACTCCGAATCATCCAAATGAGTCTAAAAGAAAAGGAAATTAATGCATTCTATAAGTCTTTCACACAACTGGAAAGAGGATTTTACACTACGGATAAAATTTCAGGCAATTTATGGGGAAACAGAGCCATCAATGCAGTTCTCCATTATCCACCACTATCCCAGAGTCAGAGATACATTTGACCAAGCCAAAAATGCATTTAACTACTTTAGAAATAAAATATTTTCAATAACAGTGGTCAGAAGATGTTATGAAGTCCAGGACTAAAATGAAGTTCAAAAAAGAGCTAGATATAGTCACAGAAGATAGGTCTATCAATAGGTATTAGCCAGGATGGGCATGGATGATGTCCGTAGCCTGTTTGTCAGAAGTTGGGAATGGGCGACAGGTGATGTATCACTTGGAAATTTCATGTTCTGTTCGTCACTTCCGGGGCACTTGGCACTGGCCACTGTCGGAGGATAGGATGCTGGGCTAGACGGACCTTTGTCTGACCCAGTATGGCCATTCTTATGTTCAGCATAAAAGTATGAAACATGCCAACTCAGCTGTCCCTGAAATAACTATTCATACTTATTGAAGAACAGCTAGGAGCTCCATTAGCTAATACCACGCTGAATATTTCAATTGAATGCTGTTGAAAACATGTTTGTTTCCAAACAAAAGATTATCATAAACAAAGTTTATACCACTTACTCCTAGGCATAGTTGTAATTTTCTGGAAAGTTAGAAGTAAATGTTTAGGAATTCTATGATAAAAGTGACTTCTTGAGAAATATCGGCGTGGATGACTAATTTTACCAAATCCTCTATAAGGCTTTGTTAATTCTTGAAATTTTGCAGAGATTAACAAAATAACTCAAATGTAGCCTTTTTTAAAAAATTAAATAAAAGCAAAATAATAATAAGCTCCTCCATTAAAATTAATGTTGAAAAAATTCTTCCTCAACTGCCAATTTGTAGAACTTTAAAGACCAAATCCATGGTGATTTTACAACTGAGTTGCTATGCAATGCTATTAGGCAATACCAACACAAAAACTAATTTTCAGCTAATGAGGTTTTTGCCTGAGAATGTTCAATTAAGTCTTATGCTGTTATTGATTTTTCCATTTGTCAATACTACACATTAAAGCTTTGCTTTCACACAGGAAATATTACAATTTCCAATACTATTAAAAGAAATCTCTTTTGGAAGGACAGATTGGAGTCAGAGGGAAAGCCATAGAGGTTCTCCAGTAAATAGCCTCTGACCTGACCAAGGAGATAAAATGAAATATGGCTCATCCTGGAGATAAATTTCCCACATATGCAGCCAGAGAACAAATTAAGATAAAACTGTTCAAACCTGCTCACAAAAAGGCCTGAGGTTTATCCGGATAGGGAACGTATAGCAGCTCATTTCCTTGTATCGCTCACACTTCTCAAAGTCAAAGTTAAACCTCAGGAGTGAGACAGTAAGAAAGGGAGGCAACTTACGTAGTTTAGCAGACTGTAAAAAGAACAAAAAGTTTTACGTATAGGTTTGTGACAGATAAGAAGCAGCACGCTCTCTATTCTAAACACAACTCTCAAACTACCAGGAGAAGGCCCCCTAGAATCCAGCCATGGACCTTCCCCCCCAGCCGGGAAATCACACTCCCTCCTCCCCAGAGCCCAGCTGAGCCTCCTCCCCCTCAGACAATCATACTCCCTACTAATCAGCAGTGGATTTCCCGCCCCCAGACGCTGACAGACCCTACCCTTCTAGAGCCCAACCAAGGAGAGAAAGCCTGATGTGGGGTCCTGGGCTTGCACAGAGTTTTTTGCACTCCACTACCTTCTTCCTTTAGGGTGTGCTGGGAACCCTTAATTTCCCTCACCCCACCCCACCCTCTTGTCTTCTATTTATGAGCTGGGCTCTGCTGAGTCCAGCAGCCCCTAGTAGCAGCAAACATCTTTACAGCCCATTGGAGGGGGGGAGGGGAGTTGTTGTGGAGATTCTTCATGTACAGTATTGTCTGCAAGATTCTGCATTGTGCAGTATCACAGAATTCCCCTGCATCAAAGGCTAGAAATGCAAGAGGCTCAAAGAGGTTCAGCCAATATCCTTCACAGAATCAGGACCAGAAAAAGATGAAAAGAGCAGAGTCTGCTCTAGCTCCATTGGCAGAGTGGGAGTCACAAAGCAGCTTCCTGATTCTGAAAGTATGCCTACACAGGGAAAATTTGGAATTATATCTTTGCATTCATGCAGATTCACTAACTGCAGCAAGAGTGGAAGTGCTAATGTACATCAGGGACAGGCATTTAACAATTGGTTTATCCAATCTGTAAAAAGAGCTAGGAAACACTCCGATTAGCCAGGGAAATTTTGTAGCCTTTGATTAGAGGATCTGTCAAATCCTGCCCAGAGCCATCAGTCTCAATGGGAAAGTAAGATTCTTTCATAATCTGCTTTTAATAAAACTGTTTGCACCAAACAGTTGTAACCTTCTGATGTACTCAAAGTTCTTAGATGCAGCCTGCCCTCTCCAGTCTCACCTCCATCCACAATGGGGATAATTTTACAGTCGTGGTCACCAACCAGTAGATCGCGATCTACCGGTAGATCTCAGGGGCTCTAAGAATAGATCTTGAGCCCTCTCTGAACTGTACGCCTGCGCAGTACATTTACATTAGATTTCCTCATTTGAGGAGCAGCTACTCACCGAGCAACACCACAGGTGAGTATCTACGAGGAATGGTGGGGGCTAGAAGGTCGGGAGGGCTGAAACACCCCAGCAAGCTGACTGTGGCTTTCAGCTGAAAGCGGCTGCCCCGCGCTCCAGCTGATCAGCAGCTTCTCCTCTGCGCCTGCCCACGTGGAGCTTGGTGCACCCTGGCTGAGCACCATGGCCAGCTGGCTGGGCAGCCGCTTCTTTTCCCTCCAGCCCGGCTGCCCTGCGCTCAGCCCAGGGAAGCTGCGTCTAGCTAGCTTCCCAGGCTGAGCGCAGGATCACAGATGCCCATCTGATGGACCGTATATGACTAGCAATCTCAGACTACAACCCAGACTTCAAGACACTGGCAGATACTGTTCAGTCACAGGTTTCACACTGAGACTTTGTTATTGGAAGAAAAAATATATAATTATCAATACTTGATTTTAGATTTACAAAATAGCAGAGAACAAAATGTATAATTGTAAATGCTTCATTTGACATTTAAATAGCATGAATTAAAAACAGACCATTTATTTCATAACTATAAACATGTGATTTTAATGTTATATATTGCATAATTTAAAAATAAACTGTTTAACAGAGTGTATAAGGGCTGGGGATAGCAAGTGATGGACAGGAGAATAGAGAGGATGGGGGCTTCAAGAAAGGGATGGGACAGTAGATCTTCACCTGTTCTGGGACTTAAAAAGTGATCTTGGGTGTAAAAAGGTTGGAGACCACTGTTTTACGGTAAGGGAAGAAAGCTGCTCCTCAACACTGACAGACCGTCAGAAAAATTGTCTAATTTGCTAAACCTGAACGAACACTTGGATGCTAACTCAGACTAAACTAGCACGTGCTGAAGTGGTGCTATAAATCACTACGGGCTTATCTAGACTACACTAAAGTGTCGAAAGAGGAGAGCTTTCAAAAGAGAAAGTAGTTTAAATGCGGCTTTTTCGGCGAACCCCCCCTTTGTCGAAAAACTGTGTAAGCCTCAAAAAATGAGGTTTATATGGCTTTTCGACAAAAGGGGGAGGGTCGCCAGAAAAGCTGCGTATTTAAAAAAAACTTGGAATTTGCGTATCCTCTTTCGACTGTTCCGCGTAGACAATGCAGGATGCACTGATAACCCAACTTCAGTTTCTTTGGATCTGTTTTGAGAAGGTCTTCTGTACAGTATAAATCTGAAGACTTAGTATGATATTTTGTTGAAGCATGAAGAGTTTGTGTTAGCAACTAAACTTATCTTTCGACAGTTTAGTGTAGTCTAGATAAGCTCTAGAAGATTATCACTGATGAACTTGATACTTTATTTGCCCAAACCTTACCCCATCCACCCAGGGTCTCATAAGAAACAGCAACAATGTACATGTTACATACAAGACATAAAATACTTTCAAAATTTCTTTAACTAGTTTCATAGCAGAAGGAAAAATGAGAGGTCTTCTCACATGTTTCCTGCTTAAGTTGACAGCTAAGAGTTTATATAGTAACCAATTTGGCAGAGAGTGCCAAAGCTCTTCCTACTTATCCAAATTCCTGAACTGCTGTTAAACTGGATGCTATGGACCAAGAAACCCATTACCTTTGCTGCTTCAACCAGTTTGTTGCATGCTCCGCATCGGTACAAGTTATCATTTTCAAAATATTCCTCTTCCACATACATGTTCCAGAGGGCCTCCTCCAAGCCAGATACATCCTTGACTGCCACTGTTAGATCTAAAAAATCCTCCTATATAATAATACAGCAGAGAACCAAAGTAAACACATTGTGCAAACAAAGCTGAATTTTGATATTTGGTATACTGCAGCACATTTGCCTGTAGGTACAATAGCAGATTTGTTAAATATAAAGAAACACATTTATGTAAGTTAGGGATGTGAAAGGTTAACAGGTTACCCAGTTAACCGGTAAGCATCACCCTATGCAGGTAATGCTTACCAGTTTTGGCTAACCGGTAGGAGCTGGAACAGTTCCCCACCTGCCATGGGCAGGTGGCCCGCAGCGAAAAGAGGCGGCTCATGTTCCAAGCTAAGCTGGAGCAGCCCCCAGCCTGGAGCTCATGTTCAGTTGGTTAACTGGGATTTTACATCCCTAATGTAAGTCATGTGTCAGGATTAAGGAAATTTATTTCTCTCTTCACTTTACTTCAGTGATACTAGTATTTGTAAGTTTTTAAAAATACTGTTTCATTCCTCTTTGTGAGGAATTCAGCTTTGTCAGAAATCCTGGTTGTAAAACACATGTCAGACAGATTAGGGAAAGTAAAAATAGATTGCAAAATGTGAATAAAACAAAAGGAGTTTCACTGTAGTAACATTGTTACTTATATCTCTAACCATATCTACCCTAGGTGATACATGGCAACTCAGCTACATACTACCAGTGCTACCGGTTTATTTTTGATGACTCATGCCTCACTGTAGTCACAGCTTACGAATACCAGCCAAGATTCAATATGAACAAATAAGCCTAGAATTTTTCCCGTGTTTAGAAGACTGCAGAGTCCTAACACATAAAAGCTGCACAGTTCCAATACATTATTAGAATTGTCAAAATAATTAATTTGCTTGGAATATTTTCCTAGATTAAGCAAGCATTTACAAGTACTGGAAATGGAACTTCTGCAATTAACCAGAACCTGGTTAACAAGTTGCCAACAAGCTATGCTATAACATGCCTATGAATTTACCTGTCTCTCACTGACATTCTTGCACTCCTTACAAACAATCTGGTTAACAACAGTTCCATGATATAACCGATTAATAAGATCATGTCCAGAAGTCCCCACAAGGGAAGTTTCCAAAGCACTGAACAGAATGCGATTTAACTCCTGTACATCATGTTGTCTCATCTCCTACAAGACAACACAGGATACATTTTTAAAAGGGTTTATTAGTGCAATCTGCTGCTTTCCATACTATGATTAAACATTTTCTAAAAGCAATAAACAGTTACATTAGAGACATAAAGACCTTAAAAGGAAGCAAGATACAATGTGAAAGCAGCCCACTATCAAGAGAGGAATACTGACTTGTCTTAAGTTTGTTCCTCTCACCCCCACCCCTGTGCAACTACTTTTCAGCCTTAATTTCCTTCCATTATTTCTCCTATATTCATGCATAATATTGTCCATGTCAAACACACTACTTCCACTGAACACAGTGGGACTATTCCTCTCTTTTGTAACATGAAATATGTGCTGATTTTCTTAAAAGACTTATAGCCACAAGCCATCAAGCAAACAAAAAATGAATAACTACTGAAATATTTTATAAATATATTTTGTGTCTGCAGAGACCCATTTACTTGTTCTCCATCAGAAATAGATAATATATGTACTTTCACTGGGGATGCAGACAAAACAGAATACTTGCCCAATTAAAAATGTATTTCCCAGTTTAAAAAAAAATTAAGACATTTTCTCACAGGTCAAAATATTTCAAGCCTCCTCTCTCTCTTTTGGAAGAAACTCTTTCAAGCTATGTCCTTACTCATACCATACTATACCTCATTGCTGTTCCATCCAAAACTCTCAGTGAGATCTGTTGTAGATGCAGCCTGCTGATCTAAGAGCAAAAGCTGAGCAAATAATCGTTGTAACTGTAATGGAATTATTCGAACCTAAATGTTTAAAAACAAAAAGTTTCAGGAAACAACTTCAAAACCAGTAGTTTAAATAAAATGAATTAGGATTTAGCACAGAAGCGAGAACAAGCCACCAACAACCCAATAGCATTTATGTTCTAATTATAACTTGGCCTACTTAATTCGCAACTGTATAAACATGGATACATCCTTTCTTTCCAAAATCTAGATAATTATTTATCCTTCTCAGTTAAGTATCTCAGAGAAACTAAAAAAAACTTAAAAACAACATATAGTCATACAGCACATTAGAGACTAACAAAAAATGTAGATGGTATCATGAGCTTTCGTGGGCACAACCCACTTCTTCAGATAAATGGAGTAAGGGGTCCAGGGTACAAATCTTTCTTTGTTGTATGACTATTTGTTGTTTAAGTTTTTCAGTTACAGACTAACACGGCTACCCTTCAAACACAGAAACTCAAGTTCATTATTTCAACAGTGATAAATTAATACACAGAAAGAAAAATCATTAATCTACATTTAATCTATCATAATATAAACAGTAACTTTTTTGGGAATTTTGTATTCTTTTGTAACTCAAAAAAACCAAAGGAACATGGCCATAGGAGATTTAATTAAATCATAGAATACAGAAACAAGATCTGTTTTCCAATACTAACAAACATTTTTAAAATAAAAATTAGACTCCACCCTGTAACATCTTATATACAGGTAACCCACAACATCCGTGAGGCTCCAGAAAGAAACAGCAGTACCACAAACAAGAAGTCACAGAATAGAAGCCTTAATTAGTAAAGAAAATCTGGAACAGTACTGGACAAGTTTTGGGCCTGCTCTTGCTCTGCCATAAGTCGGAAGGATTTTTGCCATTGGATTCTATAGAAGTAAGATCAAGACCTATGATCTTATGGAGAAATAACTGGTGCACTGGCTTTTGACAGTGCCCAAAACAGAATTCTTGCCTTTCCATAAGCTATTATATTTCTCAGTATGGTCAGATATTGTATTTACACTCTTGATTCAAACCCTCATTTTTCTGATTCAACCTACAGCAGAGAATAATAAAAGCAGAGTTAAACACCTTAACATCTGGTTTATTGATATCTTCCAGAGAACCAAGTTCTTCAGGGCCTAAGGAAAACAGTGCTTCTGTAATGGAAAAGGAAACACGACTTCAAAATAAAGCATCTGTATACATACATCATATTTTTATTCTTTCAGTGAAAAGTTTACATGTTGTCCCGTTAACAATCACAAATATCCCCAAAAGCACCTTAAGAAATATATCCCTGAATGACATTTGCACTTTTTTGTACCAATTTATTTTCATCCCATCCAAATAAAATACCAATACTAAGAAATATACAAAGGGTTAGCTGTCTTGGAAGCACTGCTTCTTAAGTTAGTAGTTATACGAAAAGTGAATGAACGGCAGTAAGAAGGTGTGACAATATTTGTGTCAATATGATGAGAATTACACATATAACTAGACATGATATTTATCTTTCTGCAGAAGTGAGAGAATAGCTTTATGGACTACCTGCTCTTTGTTTCCATCTCAGCAGCTACAGCTTATCTGGAGTGAACAGTTTTGGAAATTGGCTTTCAATATGTAATGTTTTATAAATAACTGACAATTGGCAGTGCAGAATGTCTAGTACAACAGCATTAATATGATATATTGCTGGTAGAGGCAAAAGCAGAAACTTTGGTCTTTTGGATATGTAGAGAATCTTTTACAGTTTTAACTGGATTTTCTCTGTCTTGATTATTTACCCCAACCCTACCCTCTCCCCCATCAGCTTTACTCCATACCTGCCCTTCTTGTCTTTTATTCATTTCTCTTCTTGAATAAATCCCCTCCCACATCCCAAAGAAGGGGGAAAAACATGGAACATGGGCTACATCTAGACTGGCATGATTTTCCGGAAATGCTTTTCACAGAAAAGTTTTCCATGAAAAGTATTTTCGGAACAGAGCATCTAGATTGGCATGGACACTTTTCCGCAAAAGCACTTTTTGCGGAAAAGCATCCGTGGCCAATCTAGATGCCCTTTTCCACAAAAAAGCCCCGATTGCCATTTTTGCGATCGGGGCTTTTTTGCGGAAAACAAATCTGACCTGTCTACACTGGCCCTTTTGCGCAAAAGCTTTGCACAAAAGGACTTATGCCCGAATGGGAGCAGCATAGTATTTCTGCAAGAACCCTGACCATGTTACATGAGATCGTCAGTGCTTTTGCGGAAATTCAAGCAGCCAGTGTAGACAGCTGGCAAGTTTTTCCGGAAAAGCGGCTGATTTTCTGGAAAAAATGCCAGTCTAGACAAAGTCATGGTGTTTGCTGTTATCCCATCTTTCACTCCTGCTGGTGTGTTCAATTCTTCCCTCCATCCTGGGATTCTGATCTATTTAGCCTGATGCTCTTTGGGGTAAGGAATGTCTTTTTCATATCTGTACAGTGGCTAGCACAATGGGGCACCATTCTTGGTTGGCCCTTAAGCACTACTATAACAAACATGGCTAATATAAAAGTTACATTAGAAAGTTATATTTTAAAATATAGTACCTCTAAATTCTGGTGTGAAATGCAAAGTCTGGAGAAGAGAATTAAGGTAGCAGGTCCCGCCTTGATTTTTGATACCACTTAAGTTGGTGAACTCCCTTGGAGCAGGAGTTTCAGTATCTTTGGACTTCGATTTCTTCCCTTTTCCACATTGATTATTTGATACAAAGGAAAAGTCCTCTTCAAATAAGTCCCCAAACATTGTGAATCCACACTATAGTCCTTCAGAGAGCCAATTAAAACAAAAACCACTCTTTAGCACAAAAACTGCAATCTTATTTGGCTATGTACTACACGTTAATTCAAATTCAAAAGTGCTCAGGCTTTTACCTATACAGAGGGATAATTCTGAAGGTTTAATGTGTACCTTTGAAATCTAGTTGCAAGTCTATATGTGCATACTTATTTTGGAACTAAAGAACCCTATTTTGAGTCTGGTAAAAATAGGGCTCTAATTCCAAAGCAAGCATGTGCATGCACAGACTTGTAAGCAAACAACAGGTATAAATCAACACCAATTTAGGCTTTTTCTGCACTTTTACTTTAACCTGGCAAGGTGGCCTTGGCATAAGCACTGGGAGAGTTTTCCCAATGCTCTAGATTAGCAATGGGCAACCTAAGCTAGTGAGGAGATTGCATGAGTGGCCCTCCATCTCATTGGACTAGGAGATTGTTATAACCAAGATGTATCCCAGGATAGGGTAGTTTTGCTAATTATGCTTGGATTACTTAGAATTTGTCGGGGTGTGCCAACTGAACCCTAACAGTGCTTTGATTGGATGCAGAGTAATTGCACTGCTTCGACTGTCACCGTTTGTATGCAATTAGCACACTCTTCACTTCACATGCGTGTCACTTTAGTAATAAGGTAGGGAAAAAAATCTAAGCAGGCGGAAGCCAGTGGAATCCAACAACCCTCTGACTACGTCTACCCTGGCATGATCTTGCGCAAGAACTCTTTTGCAGAAGAGAACATCTACACTGCCATGTGCTTTTGCGCAAGAGCATCCATGCCAGTGTAGATGCTCTCTTGCACAAGAAAGCTTTGATGGCCATTTTAACCATAGGGCTTTCTTGCGCAAGTAATTCATGTTGCCTGTCTCCAATGGTCTTGCGCAAGTGGGCTTATTCCTGAACGGGAGCATGATAGTTCTTGCGCCAGAAGCCCTGAATTCATACATTAAAACGTCAGAGTTCTTGCGCAAGAACTGGCGGCCAGTGTAGACAGGCAGCAAGTTTTGGTGCGCACAAGACTGTGCCAATGTAGACACAGCCTCTCTGTGGGCAACAGGAAACAAGCCACACGCAGAACCCTGCTGGGTCGCAGAGGGGCCGCACGCTGTTCACCAGGGCCAGGAGCGCACAGCGCTGGGAGGCCGCTTTCCAGCCTGGACCTTGCTGCGTTCAGGGCCGGGTGCCTTTCCGCCCCGCTGGGTGCAGTCACCTACCAGGCAGCGCCTCTCAACGGGCTGGGCGGACCCCAGGCTGCGGCACTTCGGCCCAGACCGGGATTGCGGTGGGTCTCGGCTCCCGGGGCTGCCCGAGCTCAGGCGGGTTGGGCACCCTAATACTGTTCTCCAATATACCTGCAACCATTTTCAGTTTCATATCATCGAAAATTTTTACATGTACTCTTTAAATCACTATCCAAATCATTTATGAAGATAGTGATTAGAACTGGACACATGAGGTATCTTAGTGAGACACGCCCCCAATCAATATGCCCTTCCAGGTTGCATGGTTGATTGTGAACCATTCATAATTACTTTCTGAGTAAGGATTTCCAGCTGGCTGTGCATTACATAACTGGCTGGATAACTGTTCTCAGAGAGTAGTTATTAACGGTTCACAGTCATGCTGGAAGGACATAACAAGTGTGGTTCTGCAGGGGTCTGTTTTGGGATCGGTTCTGTTCAATATCTTAATCAATGATGTTGGCATAGAGAGTACAATTATTAAGTTTGCAGGTGATACCAAGCTGGGAGGGATTGCAACTGCTTTGGAGGACAAGGTCATAATTCAAAATTATCTGGACAAACTGGAGAAATGGTCTGAAGTAAACAGGATGAAGTTTAATAAGGACAAATGCAAACTACTCCACTTATAAAGTAATAATAAGTTTCACACATATAGAATGAGAAATTATTGACTAGGAACGAGTACTGCAGAAAGAGATCTAGGAGTCATAGTGGACCACAAGTTAAACATGAGTCTATAGTGTGACAGTGTTGCAAAAAAAAGAAAACATGATTCTGGGATGCATTAACAGTAGTGTTGTGAGAAAGACACGAGAAGTCATTCTTCCACTCTACTCTGTGCTGATTGTGCCCCAGTTGGAGTTTTGTGTCCAGTTTTGGGCACCATGTTTTAAGGAAGATGTGGAGAAATTGGAGATGGCCCAGAGAAGAGCAGCAGGAGTGAGGAACGTGCCTGACAAGAGAAGATTGAAAGAACCGGGCTTGTTCGGTTTGGGAAGGAGAAGACTGGGAGGGGACGTGACGGGGGCCTTCAGAGAGCGGAAAGGGTGTTAAAAGGAGAGAGGGAAAACATTGTTCTCCTTGGCCTCTGAGGACGGGACAAGAAGCAATGGGCTGAAACTGCGGCAAGGGAGCTTAGGTTGGACATTAGGAAAAAACGTCCTGTCACAGGAGGGGTGAAACACTGGAATAAATTGCCGAGGGTGGCTGTGGAATCTCCGTCTCTGGAGATATTTAAGAGTAGGATAGACAAACATCTGTCAGGGATGATCTAACTAGAGCTTGGTGCTGCTGTGAGGGCAGGGGACTGGACCCCATGTCCTCTCAAGGGTCTTTCCAGTTCTAATGTTCTCTGAGTCTCTGCCTCTGCGCCCATCTCAGTATTTCATTAGTAGTACACAAGTATGAATGTCTTTAGCACACTCTGGAGATATTTAAGAGTAGGATAGACAAACATCTGTCAGGGATGATCTAACTAGAGCTTGGTGCTGCTGTGAGGGCAGGGGACTGGACCCCATGTCCTCTCAAGGGTCTTTCCAGTTCTAATGTTCTCTGAGTCTCTGCCTCTGCGCCCATCTCAGTATTTCATTAGTAGTACACAAGTATGAATGTCTTTAGCACACTTGAAGGGGGGGGGGTGGTCCTGAAATAATTTTTCTTGCTGAAAGTGGGATGCTAAGCAAAAATGTCTGACACGCTGCCTTACCAAGCACCAGGAGTGGAATTCCTACCCC